TTGCCCTATGCAGTGCCCCATGCAGAGCCCATGCAGAGCCCATGCAGCACCCATGCACTGCCCCATGCAGTGCCCTATGCAGTGCCCCATGCAGTGCCCCATCCAGCGCCCCATGCAGTGCCCTATTCAGTGCCCCATGCAGTGCCCTATTCAGTGCCCCATGCAGTGCCCTATGCAGAGCCCATGCAGTACCCATGCACTGCCCCATGCACTGCCCCATGCAGTGCCCTATGCAGTGCCCCACTCACTGCCCCATTCACTGCCCCACACACTGCCCCACACACTGCCCCACGCACTGCCCCACTCACTGCCCCCATTCACTGCCCCACTCACTGCCCCACTCACTGCCCCACTCACTGCCCCACTCACTGCCCCACACACCGCCCTGCCCGGCCTCACCCAGCAGCAGCACCAGGACCATGGCGGCGCCTTGGGGAGGGATGGGGCCGGGATGGGGCCTGGATGGGGCCGGGATGAGTCAGACCCCGCTGCGTCCATCCCATTGCCCCCCCCATCCCATTGCCCATCCCATTCCCATTGCCCCCCCATCCCATTGCCCCCCCCATTCCCATTGCCTCCCCCATCCCATTGCCCCCCCCATTCCCCATTCCCATTCCCATTGCCCATCCCAGTTGTGGGGGGGGATATAAAGGGGTCAGGGCAGGGTTTGGGGTGTCCCCCCCCCCCCCAACATGGGTTGGGTCGTTCCTAGAGCCAAGAGGACAACACGTGGACACCTAAGGGACAACACGTGCGGTGGTCACGTGAGGGGCCACGCGCGTGCACGGCCCCCCCCCGCGCCACGTGACGGGGCCCAGATCACGTGTGCATGCATGTGCATACATGTACATGCGTGTACACGCACACACGTGGGCATGCGCCGTTGGGGGGAGAAGTGGGGCCAGGTGGGGGGTGAATGAGGGTCACTGGGGGGGTACTGGGGTTGTACTGGGGGGTATTGGAGCTGAACTGGGGGGATACTGGGGTTGTACTGGGGGGGTATTGGGGTTGTACTGGGGGGATACTGGGGTTGTACTGGGGGGATATTGGGGTTGTACTGGGGGGATACTGGGGTTGTACTGGGGGGGTACTGGGGTTGTACTGGGGGATATTGGGGTTGTACTGGGGGGACACTGGGGTTGTACTGAGGGGGATATTGGGGTTGTATTGGGGGGGTACTGGGGTTGTACTGGGGGGGTACTGGGGTTGTACTGGGGGGATGCTGGGGCCGTACTGGGGGATACTGGGGGGGTACTGGGGTTGTACTGGGGGATACTGGATCCATACTGGGGTTGTACTGGGGGATACTGGATCCATACTGGGGTTGTACTGGGGGCTTTATTGGGGCCAGTACCTCCCCATGGTCCCTCTTGTACCTCCCCCCGCCCCCCACCCAATGGACCCGTCCAGGCCCCCGCCCCTAGCGACGACTCAGCCAATAGCGGGGTCTTCCCACAGCAACAGCCCCCGCCCACCCGGAGGGCGGAGCATCGCCGAGGGCGGGGCTTCGTTTATTGACCACGCCCCTTCAGGTTCCCCGTTTATTCCCCCCCAAGGCCAACGACCCCCATGGGATGGGGCTGGGGGAGCCCATGGGGGGCCCATAGGGGGTCCATGGGGATCCATGGGGGGGTCCATGGGGATCCATAGGGGGATCCATTGGAGTCCACGGCGGGGTCCTTGGGGGTCGATGTGGGATCCATAGGTGGGTCCATGGTGGGGGTCTATGGGGGGGTGCATGGGGATCCATAGGGGGGTCCATGGGGGGGGTCCATGGGGTGATCCATGGGGATCAGTCCTCATCCCCCCCATCACTGGGACCCTGCTATGGGTTCCTAGTGGGGTCCATGGGGGAATCCAAAGGGGGGTCCATAGAAGGGCCCATGGGGGGTGTCCATGGTGGGGTCCATGGGGTGTCCATAGAGGGGTCCATGGGGGGGTCCATAGAGGGATCCATGGTGGGTCCATGTGGGGGTCCATAGAGGGGGCCATGGTTGGGTCCATGGGGTGTCCATAGAGGGGTCCATGGGTCCATGGGGGTCCATGGTGGGGTCCATGGTGGGGTCCATGTGGGGTCCGTGGTGCCCCCATCAGAAGGTGTGCACCAGGGGCACGTTGGGCAGCTCCGGGCCCCCCGCGTCCCCCCCGGTGCCCCCCGGGGCTGGGGCTGCACCCGGAGCAGGAGGAGCCGGGCAGGGCCCCCCCGGCCCCACACAGCAGCAGCACCGGGGGCAGCCCCACGGCAGAGCCCCCCAGGGCCACGTGTGGGGAGGGGGATGGGGGGGACCCAGCCACGAGCAGCTCGGGGCGCGCCGGGGGCACCTCCATGGGGCTTCAGTTGGGCATTGGGGTCCTCCATGGCCTTGAGTTGGGTGTTGGGTACCTCAATGGCCTTGAGTTGGGTGTTAGGTACCTCAATGGCCTTGAGTTGGGCATTGGGCATCTCCATGATCTTGAGTTGGGTGTTGGGTACCTCAATGGCCTTGAGTTGGGTGTTGGGGACCTCAATGGCCTTGAGTTGGGTGTTGGGGACCTCAATGGCCTTGAGTTGGGCATTGGGGACCTCAATGGCCTTGAGCTGGGTGTTGGGCATCTCCATGGTCTTCAGTTGGACGTTGGGTACCTCAACGGTCTTCAGCTGGACGTTGGGCACCTCAATGGGCTTGAGTTGGGCGTTGGGCACCTCAACGGTCTTCAGTTGGATGTTGGGTACCTCAATGGTCTTGAGTTGGGCATTGGGCATCTCCACGGCCTTGAGTTGGGTGCTGGGGACCTCAATGGCCTTGAGTTGGATGTTGGGCATCTCCAAGGTCTTGAGTTGGACATTGGGTATCTCAACGGTCTTCAGTTGGATGCTGGGTACCTCCATGGTCTTGCATTGGGTGCTGGGCACCTCAATCGGCTTGAGTTGCACACTGGGCACCTCAATGGGCTTGAGTTGGATGTTGGGCACCTCCAATGTCTTCAGTTGGGCATTGGGCATCTCCAAGGTCTTGACTTGGACATTGGGTACCTCAACGGTCTTCAGTTGGATGCTGGGTACCTCCATGGTCTTGCGTTGGGCATTGGGCACCTCCATAGGCTTGAGTTGGATGTTGGGCACCTCCAATGTCTTGAGGTGGGCACTGGGTACCTCCAAGGTCGTCAGTTGGACACTGGGCACCTCCAGGGTCTTTACGTGCACGTGGGGTACCTCAACGGTCTTGACTTGGATGTTGGGCATCTCCATGGGCCTGAGTTGGGCGTTGGGTACCTCCAAGGTCTTGAGTTGGACGTTGGGGTACCTCAATGGGCTTGAGCTGGATGTTGGGCATCTCCAAGGACTTGAGTTGGACATTGGGTACCTCAATGGTCTTCAGTTGGATGTTGGGTACCTCAATGGGCTTCAGTTGGGTACTAGGCACCTCCAAGGTCTTTACTTGGACGTTGGGCATCTCCATGGGCTTGAGTTGGGTGTTGGGCACCTCAATGGCCTTGAGTTGGACACTGGGCACCTCCACGGGCTTCAGTGGGATGTTAGGTATGTCAATGGCCTTGAGCTGGATGTTGGGCACCTCAATGGCCTTGAGCTGGACACTGGGGACCTCAATGGGCTTGAGTTGGGTGTTGGGCACCTCAATGGCCTTGAGTTGGACATTGGGCACCTCCATGGGCTTCAGTTGGACGTTGGGTACCTCAATGGTCTTGAGTTGGACATTGGGCACCTCAATGGCCTTTACTTGGACGTTGGGCATCTCCAAGGTCTTGACTTGGACGTTCGGCACCTCCATAGGCTTCAGTTGGATGTTGGGCACCTCAATGGCCTTGAGTTGGATGTTGGGCACCTTCAAGGCCTTGAGCTGGACATTGGGCACCTCCATGGGCTTCAGTTGGACACTGGGCACCTCCATGGGCTTCAGTTGGACATTGGGCACCTCCATGGGCTTCAGTTGGACATTGGGCACCTCCATCACCTGGTGACCGGCACTGGGCACCTCGTGGGGCTGAAGGCTGAGCTTTGCCACCTCAATGGTCTTCAGCTGGATGCTGGGCACCTCCATCACGTGGTGCTGGGCACCGGCTTCCTCGGGCTCTTGGAGGTGGCCACCGGGCACATCCGTGACTTGGATTTGGAGCCCGGGCACCTCGGGGCTCTGGAGGCCATTGGGCACCTCGGTGGCTTCCAGACGGCCACCGGGCACCTCTGTGCTCTGGAGCTGGACACTGGCCACCTCCATGGCCTGGAGCTGGATGGTGGCCACCTTGGGGGCCTGTGGAAGAGCCTGCAGCTGGCCATTGGCCACCTCAGCACCTTGGAGCTGGACGCTGGTGACATCCAATGGTGGTGGCAAGGCCTGGAGCTGGACACTGGTGACATCCAATGGCTGGGGTAGGGCTTGGAGCTGGACGTTGGCCACCTCGGATGCTTGGAGCTGGATGGTGGCCACCTTGGGGGCCTGCGGAAGAGCTCGGAGCTGGCCATTGGCCACCTCAGGGCCTTGGAGCTGGATACTGGTGACATCCAATGGCTGTGGTAGGCCTTGGAGGTGGACGTTGGCCACCTCAGATGCTTGGAGCTGGATGGTGGCCACCTTGGGGGCCAGCGGAAGAGCTCGGAGCTGGCCATTGGCCACCTCAGGGCCTTGGAGCTGGACGCTGGTGACATCCAATGCTGGTGGCAAGACCTGGAGCTGGCCATTGGCCACCTCGGATGCTTGGTGCTGGATGCTGGTGACATCCAATGGCTGTGGTAGGCCTTGGAGGTGGACGTTGGCCACCTCGGATGCTTGGAGCTGGATGGTGGCCACCTTGGGGGCCTGTGGAAGAGCTTGGAGCTGGACACTGGTGACATCCAATGGTGGTGGCAAGACCTGGAGCTGGACGTTGGCCACCTCTGTGCCTTGGAGCTGGATGGTGGCCACCCTGGGGGCCTGCGGAAGAGCCTGCAGCTGGCCATTGGCCACCTCGGATGCTTGGAGCTGGATGGTGGTGACGTCCAACGGCGGCGGTAGGGCTTGGAGCTGGACACTTGGCACCTCCATGCCTTGGAGCTGGCCATTGGTCACCTCAGCGCCTTGGAGCTGGATGGTGGCCACCTTGGGGGCCTGTGGAAGAGCCTGGAGCTGGCCATTGGCTACCTCGGATGCATGGAGCTGGATGGTGGCCACCTTGGGGGCCTGTGGAAGAGCCTGGAGCTGGCTGTTGTCCACCTCGGATGCATGGAGCTGGATGGTGGCCACCTTGGGGGCCTGTGGAAGAGCCTGGAGCTGGCCATTGGCTACCTCGGATGCATGGAGCTGGATGGTGGCCACCTTGGGGGCCTGTGGAAGAGCCTGGAGCTGGCTGTTGTCCACCTCGGATGCATGGAGCTGATGGTGGCCACCTTGGGGGCCTGTGGAAGAGCCTGGAGCTGGCCATTGGCTACCTCAGATGCTTGGAGCTGCCCATTGGCCACCTCCAAGGGTTGAGCCAGGGCTTGGAGCTGCCCATTGGTGCCGTCGGGGGCAGCTCCCCCCCGATGCCACCCCTTAGCACGACGACACCGGTCCCCACCGGAGCCCCGGCCACCGCCTGGACCGGCCCCCGCTCCCGGCACCACCAGGATGCTCTGGGCGGCAACGGGCACGGCGCGCGACGGGGCCCCCTCGCGGGGCTCCGCCGTGGGGCCGGGCAGCAGCAGGAGGTTGTGGGGGGCCGCCGTGGGGCTGGGGACGAGGCGAAGGCCTCGGGTCCCCCCTGCAAGAGGAGGAGGACGGTTGAGGCTGGGCGCGGGGCATGGCGGCGGCGCGGCGGCGCCGTGGGTGCGGAGGTGCCGCTGCAGGTAGGAGGCGACGGCGAAGGCTTTGGCGCAGAGAGGGCAGCGGTGGGGCCGGGCGCCGGAGTGGGTGCGGCGGTGGAGGCGGAGGTTGGAGGAGTGCGTGAAGGTCTTGGGGCACTGGGGGCAGGCGTAGGGGCGCTCGCCCGTGTGCACGCGCTGGTGCTGCCGCAGGTTGGAGGCTGCGCGAAGGCCTTGCCGCAGACGCCGCAGGCGTGGGGCCGCTCGCCCGTGTGCAGCTGCCGGTGCCGCCGGAGGCTGGAGGAGTTCTTGAAGGCCTTGGGGCACTCGGCCGCAGCGGTAGGGCCGCTCGCCCGTGTGCTGCCGCTGGTGGTACTGGTAATGGGAGGCCCACTTGAAGGTGAGCCCGCATTGGGCGCACTCGAAGGCGCGCAGCCCCGTGTGGACGCGTTGGTGGATCTGGAGCAGGGAGGAGCGCTTGAAAGCCTTGGGGCAGTGCGGGCAGGGGTAGGGCCGCTCGCCCGTGTGGTCCCGCAGGTGGTACCGCAGCCCCGAGGAGCCCTTGAAGGCTTTGCCGCACTCGGGGCACCGGTACGGGCGCTCCGGGAGGAGGAGGGGAGGGTGGGCGCCGGGGGCGGACACCCCGTCGCGGGGGTGCGTCGAGAGCCCCGTTGTCAACGGGGGCAAGGCTTTAGGGCACTTGTAGGGCCCGCGGCGGTGCCGCGCCAGCGCCGCGCTGCTCTTGAAGCTCTTGGCGCAAGCGGGGCAGCGGAGAGGGGGCAGCGGCGCCGGCGCCCCGTGGGCTCCTTGGTGGCCCAGGAGCTCCTCGTGGGTGCTGAGGCTCAGCGGGCACAAAGAGCATCTCCATGGGGGCTGTGGGGCAGCGGCGGGGGTTGGCGGCGGCGGGGCCGGAGCGTGGCTCTGGAGACGGGGCTGGAGCGCGGGCACTGGGGGCACTGGTGGGGCGGGCGGGCGCGGCGTGGGCGCGGCGGTGCAGGAGGAGGTTGGAGGAGTGCGTGAAGGTCTTGGGGCACTGGGGGCAGGCGTAGGGGCGCTCGCCCGTGTGCACGCGCTGGTGCTGCCGCAGGTTGGAGGGCTGCGCGAAGGCCTTGCCGCAGACGCCGCAGGCGTGGGGCCGCTCGCCCGTGTGCAGCTGCCGGTGCCGCCGGAGGCTGGACGAGTTCTTGAAGGCCTTGGGGCACTCGGCGCAGCGGTAGGGCCGCTCGCCCGTGTGCTGCCGCTGGTGGTACTGGTAATGGGAGGCCCACTTGAAGGTGAGCCCGCATTGGGCGCACTCGAAGGCGCGCAGCCCCGTGTGGACGCGTTGGTGGGTCTGGAGCAGGGAGGAGCGCTTGAAAGCCTTGGGGCAGTGCGGGCAGGGGTAGGGCCGCTCGCCCGTGTGGCCCCGTTGGTGGTAGAGGAGGGCCGAGGAGCCCTTGAAGGCTTTGGGGCACTCGGGGCACTTGTAGGGCCGCTCGCCCGTGTGGCTGCGCTGGTGATGGGCCAGGCGGGAGGACCAGCGGAAGCACTTCCCGCACTCCCGGCACGAGTAAGGGGGCTGCGACGGGGCCGAGGCCCCACACCGGGACCCGGCGGACATCGGAGGCGGGGTGAGGAACACGTGAGATGCCAAGGGAGGGGGCGTGGCCTGCGTTTGAGGGGCGTGGTCTGCGCTGGAGGGGGCGTGGCCTCCCCTAGAGGGGCTAGCTCTACGCTGGAGGGGGCGTGGCCTCCGTTTTTGGGGCGTGGTTTCTGCGGGAGGAGGAGTGGTCTGCGCTGGAGGGGCGTGGCCTCCCCTAGAGGGGCTAGCTCTCCGCTAGAGGGGACGTGGATTCGGCTGGAGGGGGCGTGGCCTCCGTTTTTGGGGCGTGGTTTCTGCGGGAGGAGGCGTGGTCTGCGCTGGAGGGGGCGTGGTCTCGGGTTGAGGGGCGTGGCTTTTTTCAGGGAGGCGTGGTCTGCGTTGGAGGGGCGTGGCCTCCCTAGATGGGCGTGGTCTGCGCTGGAGGGGGCGTGGCCTCCCCTAGAGGGGGCGTGGTCTGCGCTGGAGAGGGCGTGGTCTCGGGGTTGAGGGGCGTGGCTTTTTTTCAGGGAGGCGTGGTCTGCGTTGGAGGGGGCGTGGTTTCGGGTTGAGGGGCGTGGCTTTTTTTTGCAGGGAGGCGTGGTCTGTGCTAGAGGGGGCGTGGCCTCCCCTAGAGGGGCGTGGTCTGCGCTGGAGGGGGCGTGGCCTCCACTAGAGGGGCGTGGTCTGTGCTGGAGGGGGCGTGGCCTCCCTAGAGGGGCGTGGTCTGCGCTGGAGGGGGCGTGGTCTCGGGTTGAGGGGCGTGGCTTTTTGCAGGGAGGCGTGGTCTGCGTTGGAGGGGGCGTGGCCTCCCCTAGAGGGGCGTGGCCTGCGCTGGAGGGGGCGTGGTCTCGAGGCGTGGCTTTTTTCAGGGAGGCGTGGTCTGCGTTGGAGGGGGCGTGGCCTACCCTAGAGGGGCGTGGTCTGCGCTGGAGGGGGCGTGGTCTCGGGTTGAGGGGCGTGGCTTTTTTTCAGGAGGCGTGGTCTGCGTTGGAGGGGGCGTGGATTCGGCCAGAAGGGGCGTGGCCTCTCTATAGAAGGTTTCGCTGTCTGCTAGAGGGGGCGTGGCCTCCGCTGGGGAAGGGGGGCCTCTATTAGAAGGGTTCGCTCTCTGCTAGAGGGGGCGTGGCCTCGGTTTGAGGGGGCGTGGTTTCTGAGGGAGGAGGCGTGGTCTGCGCTGGAGGGGGGCGTGGCCTCCCTTAGAGGGGATGTGGATTCAGCCAGAGGGGGCGTGGCCTTCGCGTGAGGGGCGTGTCTCTGCCCTGAGGACGCGACTCAACCGCAGAGGCCACGCCCCCTTTTTGCCCCCTCAAGCCCCGCCCCTTCCCCTCCTCCAAGCCCCGCCCCCTTTTTCCTCCCCTCAGGGCCCTCCCGCTCTCCCCTCCAGGCCCCGCCCTTCCGCTCCTCCAAGCCCCGCCCCTTGCGCCCTCCCCGCTCCCGTTACCGGTGTCCCCCTCCCCCCCTCCCCCTCCCCCCCTCTCCGTTTCCCCCTCCCCCCCCTCCCGTTACCGGTCGCTCCCGGTTCCGCCGCAAACGCCCTGGGCCGCGCCGAGCGCGAAGCCACGCCCCTACCGGGGGGACGCGATGCGCATGCTCGCGCGCATGCGCACGGGCGCCGCCTGAGCCGGCGCGGGGCGTGCTGGGAAATGTAGTCCGAGACGACGACGCCATCTTGGCGGGGCGGGGAGTAGGGCTTGGAACCGGAACCATAAAACGGGTTCGGATCCCACCAAAATGGGTTTGGATCCCCCCAAAATGGGTTCGGATCACCCCGAAACGGGTTCGGAACCCCCAAAATGGGTTTGGATCCCCCAAAACGGGTTCGGATCCCCCGAAACGTTTTCGGAACCCCCCAAAACGGGTTCGGAAGTCCCAAAACGGGTCCGGATTCCCCTGAAACGGGCTCGGATTCCCCCAGAATGGGCTCGGATCCCCCAAAAAATGCGCTCGGATCCCCTAAAACGGGGTCGGAACCCCCCAAACGGACTCGGATCTCCCCAAAAGTAACTCGGAGGCCCCAAAACGGGCTCGAAACCCCCAAAACGGGTCCGCATCCCCCCAAAATGGGCTCAAAACCCCCCAAAACGGGTTCGGATCCCCCCAAAACGGGTTCGGATCCTTCCAAAACGGGTTCGGATCCCCCCAAAACGGGTTTGGAACCCCCGAAATGGGTTCGGATCCCCCCAAAACGGGTTTGGAACCCCCAAAACGGGTTCGGATCCTTCCAAAACGGGTTTGGAACCCCCGAAACGGGTTCGGAGCCCCCCAAGACGGGTCCTGATCCCCCAAACCGGGTCCGGATTCCCCTGAAACGGGCTCGGATCTCCCCAAAACGGGCTCGGATCCCCCGAAAATGAGTTCGGATCCCCTCGAAATGGGTTCAGAACCCCCAAAACGAGCTCGAATCACCCCGAAATGGGCTCGGAACCCCCCAAAACGCGTCCGGATCCCCCAAAACGGGTCCGGATTCCCCTGAAACGGGCTTGGATCCCCCGAAAATGGGCTCGGATCCCCCAAAACGGGCTCGAAACCCCCAAAACGGGTCCGGATCCCCCCAAAACGGGCTCAGAACCCCCAAAACGGGTTTGGATCCCCCCAAAATAGGCTCAGAACCCCCCAGAACGGGTTCGGATCCCCCCAAAACGGGTTCGGATCCTCCCAAAACGGGTCCCAATCCCCCCCAAACGGGCTCAGATCCCCCCAAATGGGTTTGGATCCCCCCAAACCGGGCTCAGAACCCCCCAAAACGGGTTCCGATCCCCCCAAAACTGGTCCGGATTCCCCTGAAACGGGCTCGAATCACCCCAAAACGGGCTCGGATCCCCCCAAAACGGATTCGGATCCCCCCAAAATGGGCTCTGATCTCCCCAAAACGAGCTCGCATCCTCCCAAAACAGCCTTGGATCCCTCCAAAACGGGTTTGGATCCCCCCAAAACGGGTTCGGATCCCCCCAAAACGGCCTCGGATCCCCCCAAAACGGGTTCAGAACCCCCAAAACGAGCTCGGATCCCCCCAAAAAGGGTCTGGATCCCCCCAAAACGGGTTCAGAACCCCCAAAAAGGGTCCGGATCCCCCCAAAACGGGCTCAAATCTCCCCAAAACGAGCGCGCATCCCCCCAAAACGGCCTTGGATCCCCCCAAAACGGGTTTGGATCCCCCCAAAATGGGTTTGGATTCCCCCAAAACAAGCTCAGATCCCCCCAAAACGGGCTCGGATCCCCCCCAAACGGGTCCAGATCCCCCCAAAATGGGTTCAGATCCCCCCAAAATGGTCTCGGATCCCCCCAAAACGGGTTCAGATCCCCCCAAAACGGGCTCAGAACCCCCAAAACGGGTTCAGATCCCTTCCCAAAGGGAAGCCTTGGTGAGGGGCTTTGGCTGCGGGATGGGATGAGGGGCAAACGGCTTCCAAGTGGGAATGGGAAGAGCCACAAGGGCCCTCGCTTCCCAAAGCATGGAATTCCATGGAGCACCGGCTGCAGGGAAGTGGGGCTGGAATGGGATGGGAAAGGGGGGGGAGGCACTAAATCCATAGGGAAGAGGAGGGCTCAGCGCCGGAGGAGGGGACAATCCTGCTCTCCCCACCCCCAGCGCCCCGATCCCATGGGAATGTCGGGATCCCGACTCCCACCCTTGGGAATGCTCCTCCTGGCTTTCCTATGGGGTGAGTGGCGCTTCCAGGGGCATCCCGATGGGGAGGAGGAGGAAGGGGGGAGCAAGGGGGGGCATGGGAAAGCCTTGGGAACATCGGGATCGGGAATGGCTTTGTTTGAGTTGGGGCAAAGGGGGCAAAGTCCTCGGCTTCCCGGTGCGAACGGGAGCGCTCCATGGGTCGGGAATGGGAAGAGGGGGATGGAAACGGGAGCATTGCATGGATTGGGAATGGGAAGAGGGGGATGGAAATGGGAGTATTCCGTGGATTGGGAATGGGGAAATGGAAACGGGAGCACTGCATGGATTGGGAATGGGAAGAGGGGGATGGAAATGGGAGCATTCCAGGGATTGGAATGGGAAGGGAAATGCAAATGGGAGCATTCCATAGATTGGGAATGGGGAGGGAAATGAAATTGGGAGCATTCCATAGACTGGGAATGGGAAAATGCAAACAGGAGCATTGCATGGATTGGGAATGGGAAAATCCAATCATTGTTGCATAGATTGGGAATAGAGAAATGGAAACGGGAGCATTCCATGGATTGGGAATGGGAAAATTCAATCAGGCTTGTATGGATTGGGAATAGGGAAATGTAAATGGGAACATTCCATAGATTGGGAATGGGAAAATGCCATCAGGCTTGCATGGATTGGGAATAGGGAAATGTAAATGGGAACATTCCATAGATTGGGAATAAGGAAATGGAAACTGGAGCATGGCATGGATTGGGAATGGGAAAATGCCATCATCGTTGCATAGATTGGGAATAGAGAAATGGAAATGGGAACATTCCATAGATTGGGAACGGGAAAATACAATCAGGAGCATTGCATGGATCAGGAATGGGAATAAGGAAATGGAAACTGGAGCATGGCATGGATTGGGAATAGGAAAATGCAATCATCGTTGCATAGATTGGGAATAGAGAAACGGAAATGGGAGCATTCCATAGATTGGGAATCAGGAAATGCCACCAGGCTTGCATGGATAGGGGATAGGGAAATGTAAATGGGAACATTCCATAGATTGGGAATAAGGAAATGGAAAATGGAGCATGGCATGGATTGGGAATGGGAAAAGGCAATCATCGTTGCATAGATTGGGAATAGGGAAATGTAAATGGGAACATTCCATAGATTGGGAACGGGAAAATACAATCAGGAGCATTGAATGGATCAGGAATGGGAATAAGGAAATGGAAACTGGAGCATGGCATGGATTGGGAATGGGAAAATGCAATCATCGTTGCATAGATTGGGAATAGAGAAACGGAAATGGGAGCATTCCATAGATTGGGAATCAGGAAATGCCACCAGGCTTGCATGGATAGGGGATAGGGAAATGTAAATGGGAACATTCCATAGATTGGGAATAAGGAAATGGAAAATGGAGCATGGCATGGATTGGGAATGGGAAAAGGCAATCATCGTTGCATAGATTGGGAATAGGGAAATGTAAATGGGAACATTCCATAGATTGGGAACGGGAAAATACAATCAGGAGCATTGAATGGATCAGGAATGGGAATAAGGAAATGGAAACTGGAGCATGGCATGGATTGGGAATGGGAAAATGCAATCATCGTTGCATAGATTGGGAATAGAGAAACGGAAATGGGAGCATTCCATAGATTGGGAATCAGGAAATGCCACCAGGCTAGCATGGATTGGGGATAGGGAAATGCAAGCAGGAGCAATGGGAAGGGAACGGGCACCCCGAGCCCCTTTCCCTTTGGGAGCGGGGATGCGCGGGGCATTCCCCTTCCCTTCGCCCCACACGGATCCCTTCCCGCTCCCTCTTCCAGCTCCGGCTGCTCCCCAACGGGCGCCCGTGCGCTTGGCTCAGGGGCCCCACGGCTGCGCCGGCCGGGTCGAGGTCTTCCACGAGGGCCAATGGGGGACGGTGTGCGGCGAGAGCTGGGACCTCCGGGCCGCGGCCGTGGTGTGCCGGGAGCTGGGATGCGGCCCCGCGCTCGCCGCCTCCGGAGCCGGGCGCTTCGGGATGCGATCGGGACCCGTGTGGTTGGAAGGGGTCAACTGCAGCGGGATGGAGGCGGCGCTGGCCTCCTGCGGGAGCGAGGGCTGGGGGAAGAGCGGCTGCGGCCACGGCGAGGATGCCGCGGTGGTGTGCGCAGGTAACGGCACGGAAGGATGCGTCCGACCTCATCCGGGACCAGCGGCAGAGCAGGATGCTGGGGCATCATCGCATCCCGGTCCCCTGCATCGTTAATCCCCTGCATCATCATCGCATCCCGGTCCCCTGCATCGTTAATCCTCTGCATCATCATCGCATCCCGGTCCCCTGCATCGTTAATCCCCTGCATCATCGTCGCATCTGGTCCCCTGCATCGTTAATCCCCTGCATCATCACATCCCGGTCCCCTGCATCATCATCGCATCCCGGTCCCCTGCATCATTGATCCCCTGCATCATCATTGCATCTGGTCCCCTGCATCGTTAATCCCCTGCATCATCATCGCATCCCGGTCCCCTGCATCGTTAATCCCCTGCATCATCACATCCCGGTCCCCTGCATCATCATCGCATCCCGGTCCCCTGCATCATTGATCCCCTGCATCATCACATCCTGGTCCCCTGCATCATTGATCCCCTGCATCCTGGTCCCCTGCATCGTTGCATCCTGGTCCCCTGCATCTCCTCATCCCGGTTCCCTGCATCATTGCATCCTGGTCCCCTGCGTCATTGCATCCTGGTCCACTGCATCATTGATCCCCTGCATCCTGGTCCTATACATCACCCCATCCCGCTCCCCTCCATCACTCCATCCCGGTCCCATCCATCACCCCATCCCGGTCCCATCCATCACCCCATCCCGCTCCCCTCCATCACCCCATCCCGGTCCCATCCATCACCCCATCCCGCTCCCCTCCATCACCCCATCCCGCTCCCCTCCATCACTCCATCCCGCTCCCCTCCATCACCCCATCCCGCTCCCCTCCATCCCCCCATCCCGCTCCCCTCCATCCCCCCATCCCGGTCCCATCCATCACCCCATCCCGGTCCCATCCATCACCCCATCCCATCCCGGTCCCATCCATCACCCCATCCCGCTCCCCTCCATCCCCCCATCCCGCTCCCCTCCATCCCCCCATCCCGCTCCCCTCCATCCCCCCATCCCGGTCCCATCCATCACCCCATCCATTCTCCTGACCCCCAGGGGTCAACAACAGCAGTGGTCCTGCAGAAGCGAGGGGTGCTCACGGTGCCCCTCTTGTGTCCTCCCCTATAGACACCTCCAACCACCCCATTCCCACCCGCACCGGCCCCATAGAGCTCCGCCTGGTCAACGGCTCCGACCGCTGCTCGGGGAGGCTGGAAGTGCGGCAGGATTCCCAATGGGAAACCGTTTGTGATGGAACATGGAGCATCCCCGAGGCCACCGTGGTGTGCCGGGAGCTGGGCTGTGGGGCCGTGGCCTCAGCCTATGGGGGAGCTCACTTCGGCCAAGGCTCCGGTCCCATCTGGCTCCACCGCATCCAATGCAACGGGAGCGAAGCCGCCCTGGCCCAGTGCTTGGCCCAACCCTGGGGTACCAACGACTGCCACCACGGACGCGATGCTGGGGTCGTCTGTGCAGGTAACACCTTCCTCATGGAGCAGGATTGGGCCATGGAGGGTGCTGTGCTCCGGGGTGGTCACCTCTGTGTGCGTCTCCAGCCCACCCTTGGCTCTTGAGCTCATGGATCCAGGAAAGAGGGGGTTGGAACTGGATGGGCTTGAGGGCCCCGTCCAACCCAACCCATTCCATGGGTCTATGAGCTTGAAGGTCCCTTCCAACCCAACCCATTCCATGGGTCTATGAGCTTGAAGGTCCCTTTCAACCCAACCCATTCCATGGATCTATGAGCTTGAAGGCCCCTTCCACACCAACCCAACCCAGCCCAACCCAACCCATGAGTCTATGAGCTTGAAGACCCCTTCCAACCCAACCCGTTCCTTCCAACCCAACCCATTCCATGAGTCTATGAGCTTGAAATCCCCTTCCAACCCAACCCATTCCATGAGTCTGTGATCGTGAAGGCCCCTTCCAACCCAACCCATCCCATCCCTTCCAACCCAACCCATCCCTTCCAACCCAACCCAACCCACGAGTCTATGAGCTTGCAGACCCCTTCCAACCCAACCCATCTCTTCCAACCCAACCCAACCCACGAGTCTATGAGCTTGCAGGCCCCTTCCAACCCAACCCATCCCTTCCAACCCAACCCAACCCACGAGTCTATGAGTTTGCAGACCCCTTCCAACCCAACGTATCCCATGCGGACCAGGATGATTCTCCCCTTGCTCCTTCTACAGACGCTGACTCTTCCAAGCAGCAACCTCTGCGGTTGGTGAACGGCTCCAACCCATGCGTGGGGCGAGTCGAGGTCTTCCACGACAAGAAGTGGGGCACGGTGTGCGACGACGCCTGGGACCTGCGCGACGCCGCCGTGGTCTGCCGGCAGCTGGGCTGCGGCGTGGCCGTGGCCGCCCCGGGCTCGGCTCACTTCGGCCCCGGCGCTGATCGCATCTGGCTCGACGACGTCCACTGCGCCGGCACCGAGGCCGCGCTGAGCCAATGCGAGCTCCACGCCTGGGGGGAGCACAACTGCAGGCACAGCGAGGACGCCGCCGTGGTCTGCTCAGGTAGCAGCGGGCTGGAGCTCTGCTGGGGGGCAGGCTCTGTCCTCTCTGCCCCGGCACCAAAGGCGCCTCCACCCAACCACTTGGCTATGGGGAGGAGCAGGCGTCACCCATCCCGTGGCTCGATGAGCTTGAAGGGCCCATCCAACCCAACCTATCGCATGGGTCTATGAGCTTGAAGGCCCCTTCCAACCCAACCCATCCCATGGGTCTATGAGCTTGAAGACCCCTTCCAACCCAACCTATCGCATGGGTCTATGAGCTTGAAGGCCCCTTCCAACCCAACCTATCACATGGGTCTATGAGCTTGAAGGCCCCTTCCAACCCAACCTATCGCATGGGTCTATGAGCTTGAAGGCCCCTTCCAACCCAACCTATCGCATGGGTCGATGAGCTTGAAGGCCCCTTCCAACCCAACCTATCGCATGGGTCTATGAGCTTGAAGGCCCCTTCCAACCCAACCTATCGCATGGGTCTATGAGCTTGAAGGCCCCTTCCAACCCAACCCATCCCATGGGTCTATGAGCTTGAAGACCCCTTCCAACCCAACCTATCGCATGGGTCTATGAGCTTGAAGGCCCCTTCCAACCCAACCTATCACATGGGTCTATGAGCTTGAAGGCCCCTTCCAACCCAACCTATTCCATGTGTCTACGGTTTTTAAAGTCCCTTCCAACCCAACCCATCCCTTCCAACCCAACCCATTCCATGAATGTATGATCTTGAAGACCCCTTCCAACCCAACCCATCCCTTCCAACCCAACCCAACCCAACCCAACCCAACCCAACCCATCCCTTCCAACCCAACGCATCCCATGGGTCTCTGACAGCTCAGGATCTCCCACAGAGGCCCCATCTTCCCCCCTGTGCTCCTCTTGCAGGCCCCAACCCCTTGCAGCTGCGGGTGCAGGACGGCGCCGGGCCCTGCGCGGGGCGGCTGGAGGTGCTCTACAACGGGACCTGGCTCGGGGTGTGCGGCTCCGGCTGGAGCCTGCTGGAGGCCGCCGTGGCCTGCAGGCAGCTGGGCTGCGGGGCGGCGCAGGCAGCACCCATGGGTGCCCCTCTGGACCGGGAGCACCACCGGGTGCTGCTGGAGGGGCTGAGCTGCCACGGCACCGAGATGCTGCTCCTCGAGTGCCTGCAGAGGCACGCGGGGCCGGGCCCGTGCCCAATGGGCTCGGTGGCCACCGTGGTGTGCGCCGAGCAGGAAGGTGAGAGCTGGGGTCCTCCGTTGTCCCCCTGTGTCTACATCGGAGCCAAGGCTTTGGGGAGAGGAAGGCTTGGAGGTGGGCAGCAAAGGCAGTGGGGTGGGAGCGTCAGGGTGAAGGCATCTCCATGGGCTTGGAGATCTGAGCATCCCACCTATGGGTGTGTGAACCCAATGCGGGGGGGGGTGGTCCATGCAGCATCAAGCCCAGCACCCAAGGGGGACGATGCTGCAAGAGCCCATGGGCAGGAGGAAGGGTTGGAGCATCCCTCTGAGCCCCACTTGTCCTGCAGGAGGGGTCGATCCCTGCCCGGTGCTGGCCGGACTCCTTGGCACGGGGATGCTGCTCTGCGGGACCCTCTTGATCCTCTACCTCTGGGCGAGGTGTGGGCGATGGGGTGGACGCTTCAGGGGTAAGAGCAGGAGTGGGGCTCATAGGGGCACGGCTGCGTGGGCTTTGCACCCTCCGGGCATCATCCTGCTCCTTCCTGCTGCAGACAAACCCCTCCTAAAGAGGATGCAGGACACCGGGACGGCATCCGAGGCGTAGGAAGGCAAGGCTCCATCAAGACCCCCGGGGGACCCCATCCGGTGGAGCCAGCAGAGCAGGGGCTGCCACGCTCAGCAGAGGGGATGGATCCCTCTGCCCCATAGCCCCGTAGCCCCATAGCTCACTGCGTGGAGTCCCTGTGGGTCCCAGTTCCTCTGGGCAGCGCCAAGTCCCCCGGTCTCCAAAGTCTTCCCACGTTTACCCCTACCTGTCCTTTGGGAAGGCTCCAGAATCCTAATCCCATCTGCACAGCCTCCTCATTCCCATCCCTATAACCAATATAATCCCTATTTCCATCCCTATAACCGATATAATCCCTATTCCCATCCTTATAACATCTATAACCCTCATTCCCATCCCCATAACCACTATAATCCTTATTCCCATCCCTATAACCACTATAATCCCTATTTCCATCCCTATAACCACTATAATCCTTATTCCCATCCCTATAACCACTATAATCCCTATTTCCATCCCTATAACCACTATAATCCTTATTCCCATCCCTATAACCACTATAATCCTTATTCCCATCCCTATAACCACTATAATTCCTACTCCCATCCCTATAACCACTATAATCCTTATTCCCATCCCTATAACCACTATAATTCCTACTCCCATCCCTATAACCACTATAATCCTTATTCCCATCCCTATAACCACTATAATTCCTACTCCCATCCCTATAACCACTATAATCCTTATTCCCATCCCTATAACCACTATAATCCTTATTCCCATCCCTATAACCACTATAATTCCTACTCCCATCCCTATAACCACTATAATCCTTATTCCCGGCTTGGGGGCTCCCATCTGGGATGTGGGGCTGGTGGAGCTGTTCTATCCTCAGAATAGGGAGGAATGGGATCTTGGATCCAATAGGATACGTGTAGTTTGGGGAGGGTGCCATGGGGTAGTGGTAGACCTGGCAGCCGTGGGGTCTTCGTGCTCTCCTGGAGCAGAGATGACGCTCTTGAGGGCTCCCCCATGCAGGACCAGCCCCTCTCGGGCTCATGGATTGCCCTAGGGATGCTCGGCACGATCCCAAGAGGGTCCCAGGCTTCCCCACAGCCCCATTGTAAGGGGGCAGAGGGGACGGGGGACCACGGCTCGCTTCCCAAGCATCCACCTATCCCGAATTCCCGGCATTCCTCTCTTTGCCACTGTTTGTTTGCCGGCAGGGATCAACGGCCTCGGGTCCATGCAACCCCAAGGTTGCCCCATCTCCCATGGGATGAGGTCGGATTCGTTCCCAGCTCAAGTTCTGCTTGGAAGAGCCCCCCCTTTCCTCTGGTCTCCAGCCCTCATTGACCTTCCTAAAGGCACCCATCCCTTCCAAGCCCCATCTTCAGCACCCAGCACCCATTTCCACCCCCGAACAGCACCCATCTCCACCGTTCAGAACAACGCCTGGTGCTTGACGGCCCCTTGGGGAAGCTCCTTGTCTCCAGGACATCCTCAAAGGGATGGGATGGCCGCAGCTCTTCCAGCTGCCCCAGTGCTGGTTGCAGAGGCCCCTTTCTCATGAGGGGTGGTGGCCCCCCACAATAAAGCCTTTTTCCAGCCTTTCCTAAGCTGTTCCTTGGCAGTGGATGCCCCAAACCCCCACCAGATGGAGCCGGTGGCCTTCACCAGCGCCGGGGGTGGTGATGGTTTGGAGCCCAAACCAGGGCCACGTAGACGCCACGGTAGGATGAGCGCGGTGGGACATCGGCATGGGTTGGATGGAGAACGTTTGGATCCCCCCATCCCAAGGGCTTGAAGCAGCCTGGTTCCGGTCCCCCACGGCAGGGATGAGCCTGACGGCCCCTTCCAACACAACCCCTTTCCATGAGCCTATGAGCTCCCGGTCTAACGGGGGTCCAAAGTCTTAGGGGCTGCCATGGGATCGGCGTGTCCGGAAGGCTTTGTTTGCTCCGTGCTTTCCTGGAACAGCTCTGCCCGTTGCGCAAGGCAGGGCTCCATGGGGCAGCAGGTCAACCCCCCGGCACCGCTCCATGGGGAAGTGAAACTCCCAGCTGGGACCAAGGCACAGGAACGGGAGGGATCCCGCTTTGCCCTCCCCATTGGCATCCATCCCAGGGGCCACCCCACTGCCGACCTCCAGCCCGCGGCCATGGCCACGCCGGCAGGGATCCATCCGTCAGCCCGGAGCGGGACCCGATGCGGTCGCGGTGGGGCCAAGAGCGTCGGGACTCTGCTGCTGACGGCGTGGCTATGGGGTGAGTGCTGTTCCCCTTCGTTTCTGACCCCCCCCAGTTGTGCTCTATGGGGAGCAGCAGAGGGGCCTGTGGGGCTGGGGCAGGAAGGGTGGCTTTGGAGGTGGTTCCCAAGGGGTTTAGGTGAGGGCAGGAGCTTTCCCTCTGCCCCATAGCCAAAGGCTTGTGAGCATTGCAAGAACTTGGGGGGGGGGGGGGGAAGGGATTCTGAGCCCTCCTGGACCTCCTCAATCCAAACCAATCCATGGATCGATGCTTCCATGATCCTCGTGTCCCGTCCCCACAGCCGTGACCTGCTGAAGGATGGGGATCCATCCTGTGGGTGCTCCATCAACGCCGTCCCTTTGGAAGGGGTTAAGGGTGGGCTCCGGTGTTGGATGTGGGACAACCTTCTCGGGGCTGGTTCTCATTCCCAAAGGGCACGGGGAGGAGCCGTCCCCTTCGGATGGGGTTTGGAGGGAGCAGGATGGGATGGAGAGCACCTAAGTTGGGTCTCATTCATCAATGCTTGCCAGATACATGCCATGGAGTCCTTCAGCCCTGAAGGGTTGGGGTCCTGCTTGTGGGGGGCCTTGCAAGGGCACTTCTAAGCTCTTCAGAAGCCTTTCTCCATGGAGAAGACCTTGGGGACATGGGGTCAATGGGACCCAATGGGATATGGAGAAGACCTTGGGGACGGGGGGTCAATGGGACCCAATGGGATATGGAGAAGACCTTGGGGACGGGGGGTCAATGGGACCCAATGGGATATGGAGAAGACCTTGGGGACATGGGGTCAATGGGACCCAATGGGATATGGAGAAGACCTTGGGGACGGGGGGTCAATGGGACCCAATGGGATATGGAGAAGACCTTGGGGACATGGGGTCAATGGGACCCAATGGGATATGGAGAAGACCTTGGGGACAGGGGGTCAATGGGACCCAATGGGATATGGAGAAGACCTTGGGGACAGGGGGTCAATGGGGAAAATGGGGTCAATGGGACCCAACGGGACATGGGGTCAATGGCACCCAATGGGACATGAAGAAGACCTTGGGGACATGGGGTCAATGGGACCCCATGGGGCATGGAGAAGACCTTGGGGACAAGAGGGACATGGGGACTTCAGTTGACTTCAATTGACTTCAGTTGACTTCTGAGTTGACTTCAATTGACATCAATTGACTTCAACTGACTTCAATTGACTTCTGAGTTGATTTCAGTTGACTTCAATTGGCTTCAATTGACTTCAGTTGACTTCTGAGATATCCAGGGCAGGGCTGGGCTGGCCAACGCCACCTCTCACATCCCTTTTGTGGGGCAGGAGCCACCCCAAAGCACCCCCATCCACCCCCTGGCTGTCACCTCCTGCTTCCTCCCCATCCCTCCTCTCCAGGCGCATCCAATGAGAGCCCGGCGGGGTCCCTTCGCTTGGAGGGAGGTCCCAGCCGCTGCGCTGGGCGCGTGGAGGTGCTGCACAACGGCACCTGGGGCACGGTGTGCGACGACGGATGGGGCTTCGGCGAGGGCCAGGTCGTGTGCCGGGAGCTGGGCTGCGGGACGGTGCTGTCGGTGGCGCCGGGATCTCGCTATGGGGAAGGGAAGGGGCCGATCTGGTTGGATGAAGTCAACTGCACCGGGGAGGAAAAGGCGCTGAGGGAATGCCAAGCGAAGCCGTGGGGCGAACACAACTGCAACCACATTGAGGACGCCAGCGTTGAGTGCTCAGGTACCCATTGGCACCGCTGCATCCATCCTGTGGGGTGCTCATCCCTTCCCAACCTTCTCCCCCCACCCCCAGATTCCATCGTGGCCACCTTGGGCACCCTCCAGTTGGTCAACGGCCTCGACCGCTGCGCCGGGAGGGTGGAGGTGCTGCACGAGCACATGTGGGGCACGGTGTGCGACGACGGATGGGATCTGCTGGATGCGGCCGTGGTGTGCCGGCAGCTCGGCTGCGGCACGGCGCTGGCGGCCACCCATGGGGCTCACTTTGGAAGGGGCCACGATCCCATCTGGTTGGATGAGGTCAACTGCACCGGTACCGAGGCCGCGCTCGTCGACTGCCAGGCCAGCATGTGGGGCAACAACAACTGCTTCCATGGGGAGGATGCTGGTGTGGTGTGTTCAGGTAACGCACCTCGAGGTGCAAGGGGGGCCATTGGCAACTTTGCAGTCATGGAATCCTGGAATGGGATGGGTTAGAAGAGCATGGATTCACTCTAGATTCACAGGGTGCTCAGACAAATGGGGCTGCCTCATCCCTGGCACTGTTCAAGGCCCTTCCAACCCAGCCCATTCTATGGGTCTAGAGATGACCTCCAAAGGTCCCTTCCAACCCAACCCAACCCAACCCATTCTATGGTTCTAGAGATGACTTACAAAGGCCCCTTCCAATTCAACCCAACCCAACTCAATTCAACCCAACCCAACCCATTCTATGGTTCTAGAGATGACTTACAAAGCCCCCTTCCAACTCAACCCAACCCAACCCAACCCAACCCATTCTATGGTTCTAGAGATGACTTACAAAGCCCCCTTCCAACTCAACACAACCCAACCCAACCCAACCCATTCTATGGTTCTAGAGATGACTTACAAAGCCCCCTTCCAACTCAACACAACACAACTCAACCCATTCTATGGTTCTAGATGACCTCCAAAGGCCCCTTCCAACCCAACCCATTCTACAGTTCTATAACGTGTCTTTGCCACACATTGTCTATGGCAATAAAGCCCCTTTACAAAGCCACCCCTCAAACCCCACTTTCAAGAGGACCCTGAGCGCTGCGGGCTCTTGGTCCCCATCCTGTGCTCCCCCCACCCATGGATGATGCCCAGGCTGGAGCTGGGGCCCTCCTTTATGTCCCTTGCCAGATTCGGCGCTGTCGGCAGCCACGGCGCCGCGCTTGGCCGACGGCTTGACGCGGTGCGACGGCAGAGTGGAGGTGCCCCACCTCGGCTCCTGGGCCACCCTGTGTGACCAAGACTGGGGTCTGGCGGAGACCCGGGTGCTGTGCAGGCAGCTGGGCTGCGGGACGGCGCTGGTGGCCCCCGCCAGGTCCCGTTCCGGCCACGGAGCTGGCCCCACGTGGCCCAACCGCGTGAGCTGCGTGGGCACCGAGAGCACCCTCTCCATGTGCAAGGTGCAGGCCTGGGGCAATGGCTCTTGTCCCCATGGCCATGAAGCTGTTGTGGCGTGTTCAGGTAAATGGTGGCCATCACCTTGGTCTCCTGCCTCCACGAGCCATGGGGGGGGTCATTAGAGGGTGCTGAGGGGTTGGGTGCATCCTGCTGGAGGGCTTGGTCCTGATGCCAGAGGGTGGGATGGGGCATATCCACCTGGGACATATCTCAACCCAACCCATCCCATCTCTCAACCCAACCCATCCCATCTCTCAACCCAACCCATCCCATCTCTCAACCCAACCCATCCCATCTCTCAACCCAACCCATCCCATCTCTCAACCCAACCCATCCCATCTCTCAACCCAACCCATTCCATATCTCAACCCAACCCATTCCATATCTCAACCCAACCCATTCCATCTCTCAACCCAACCCATTCCATCTCTCAACCCACCCCATTCCATGACCCCACCTCTCAACCCAACCCATTCCATGATCCCACCTCTCACTCCAGGCAACTCGGAGGGTGACCAGGTCCGCTTGGTGAACTACGGCAGCCGCTGCGCCGGCAGGGTCGAGATCTACCACAACCAGCAATGGGGCACCGTGTGCGACGACAACTGGGACCTGGTGGACGCCGACGTCGTGTGCCGGCAGCTGGACTGCGGCCGAGCGCTCTCGGCCCCTGGCAGAGGCCAATTTGGCCGCGGGGACGGCATCATCTGGATGGATGAGACCAATTGCACCGGCACCGAGAGCGCCTTGTCCTCCTGCCCGGCCCGGCCATGGGGGACCGGTAACTGCTACCATGGCGAAGATGCTGGTGTGGTTTGCTCCGGTGAGGCCTTCACCATTGGCATCGCTCCATGCATGGTGGAGGGATGGAAGGGGGGGGGGGGTTGATGGCAGGTTTGCACCCATTGGGGTTCTTGAGCATCCTCAATGGTCCCATCCCTAAGGAGAAACCGGCTCCTGATGGCCTGGATAGATCCATACGGTTCTTCTCATCCATGGATTCCTCACTGGATAAGGAACAGATCCCAAAGTGTTGGGGTGAATGGTGTCCCATCTCATTGGTGACCCAGGACCAGGGGTGTTGCCAGTCTCTTTGCCAATGATCCGGATGAGGGCATCGAGGGAAGGGACACCAGGTTGGGTGGGAATGTTGGAATCCATGGGATGAGGTTGAACAAGGCAACGTGCCGGGTCCTGCGCTTGGACAACCTCAAACGACACGAGTCACATCCAATGGTTGGGCTCAGTGATCTGAAAGGTCTTTCCCAACCTGGTTGATCCTATCCCTCTCTGACTGAAGGCCATGGGAGGCATTCCCGCAGGGAATATGCTCTTCCAAAGCCACCCTGGAGAGCAATTCCTGTAGGGAATGGGGTGCAGGAGGATGCAGACCCAATGCGGACCCGCTGGTGCACGGTGCTCACCCCTCCTCTTCTCCCATCCCCTGGGGCTTTCGGCAGTGGGAGCTGGGAGCAGAATTCCAATGGGATCCGCACAGCCGGAGGCCTTCCCGATTGATTCCCTTGGGTATCCTGCAGATTCCCTCATCCCGGAGCCGGCTCCCATCCGCCTGGCCAACGCCTCGCGTCCCTGCGCCGGCAGAGTGGAGGTGCTCCATGGGGAGCACTGGGGAGCCGTCTGCAAGCAGGGCTGGGACCAACGGGACGCCGAGGTGGCGTGCCGGGAGCTGGGGTGCGGGACGGCGCTGCCGGCCTCCGAGGGAGCGGATTTCGGCACCGGGGCCTTGCCGGTGAGCCTGGAGAACGTGAGGTGCCAGGGCACGGAGCAGAGCCTCAGGGAATGCCCGGCGGGACGCGGGAGCTGCGAGCACGGGGAGCGCGCCGGCGTGGTGTGCTCCGGTGGGTGGCATCCCAGCACCGGCCATGGGGATGAGAGGAAGTGGGTCCATGGATGGGGATGAGAGGAAGTGGGTCCATAAATGGGGATGAGATGAGGTGGGTCCATGGATGGGGATGAGATGAAGTGGGTCCATGGATGGGGATGAGAGGAAGTGGGTCCATGGATGGGGATGAGATGAAGTGGGTCCATGGATGGGGATGAGAGGAAGTGGGTCCATGGATGGGGATGAGAGGAAGTGGGTCCATGGATGGGGATGAGAGGAAGTGGGTCCATGGATGGGGATGAGAGGAAGTGGGTCCATGGATGGGGATGAGAGGAAGTGGGTCCATGGATGGGGATGAGATGAAGTGGGTCCATGGATGGGGATGAGAGGAAGTGGGTCCATGGATGGGGATGGGATGAAGTGGGTCCATGGATGGGGATGAGAAGAAGTGGGTCCATGGATGGGGATGAGAAGAAGTGGGTCCATGGATGCGGATGAGATGAAGTGGGTCCATGGATGGGGATGAGAGGAAGTGGGTCCATGGATGGGGATGAGAGGAAGTGGGTCCATGGATGGGGATGAGAGGAAGTGGGTCCATGGATGGGGACGAGATGAAGTGGGTCCATGGATGGGGATGAGAAGAAGTGGGTCCATGGATGGGGATGAGAAGAAGTGGGTCCATGGATGCGGATGAGATGAAGTGGGTCCATGGATGCGGATGAGATGAAGTGGGTCCATGGATGGGGACGAGATGAAGTGGGTCCATGGATGGGGATGAGAAGAAGTGGGTCCATGGATGGGGATGAGAAGAAGTGGGTCCATGGATGCGGATGAGATGAAGTGGGTCCATGGATGCGGATGAGATGAAGTGGGTCCATGGATGGGGACGAGATGAAGTGGGTCCATGGATGGGGATGAGAGGAAGTGGGTCCATGGATGGGGATGAGATGAAGTGGGTCCATGGATGGGGATGAGAGGAAGTGGGTCCATGGATGGGGATGAGATGAAGTGGGTCCATGGATGGGGATGAGATGAAGTGGGTCCATGGATGGGGACGAGATGAAGTGGGTCCATGGATGGGGATGAGATGAAATGCATCGACGGATGTGGATGAGATGAAGTGGGTCCATGGATAGGGATGAGATGAAGTGGGTCCATGGATGGGGATGAGAAGAAGTGGGTCCATGGATGGGGATGAGATGAAGTGGGTCCATGGATGGGGATGAGAGGAAGTGGGTCCATGGATGGGGATGAGATGAAGTGGGTCCATGGATGGGGATGAGAGGAAGTGGGTCCATGGATGGGGATGAGATGAAGTGGGTCCATGGATGGGGATGAGAGGAAGTTGGTCCATGGATGGGGATGAGATGAAGTGGGTCCATGGATGGGGATGAGATGAAGTGGGTCCATGGATGGGGATGAGAGGAAGTGGGTCCATGGATGGGGATGAGAGGAAGTGGGTCCATGGATGGGGATGAGATGAAGTGGGTCCATGGATGGGGATGAGATGAAGTGGGTCCATGGATGGGGATGAGATGAAGTGGGTCCATGGATGGGGATGGGATGAAGTGGGTCCATGGATGGGGATGAGAAGAAGTGGGTCCATGGATGGGGATGAGATGAAGTGGGTCCATGGATGGGGATGGGATGAAGTGGGTCCATGGATGGGGATGAGATGAAGTGGGTCCATGGATGGGGATGAGAAGAAGTGGGTCCATGGATGGGGATGAGATGAAGTGGGTCCATGTATGGGGATGAGAAGAAGTGGGTCCATGGATGGGGATGAGAGGATGTGGGTCCATGGATGGGGATGAGATGAAGTGGGTCCATGGATGGGGACGAGATGAAGTGGGTCCATGGATGGGGATAAGATGAAGTGTATCTGTGGACGGGGATGGGAGGATGTGGGTCCATGGATGGGGATGAGATGAGGTGTGTCCATGGATGGGGATGAGAAGAAGCATCTCCATGGATGGGCATCTCCATGGATGGGGCTGAGACGCCGTCTGTCCAAAACCAACCCAACCACTCCACACCCTCCATCCCCCAAGCCCCTCATCCTGTGCCCACGGCTACTTCCACACCTCCCTCCTCTTCCCCCCCCCACTTTACTGCTCTGACCACATCCATCCCCTTCCCATAGGCTCCATCGTATCCAGCTTCGCTCCGGTCCGGTTGGTGAACGGCTCCGGCCACTGCTCGGGCAGGGTCGAGGTGTTCCACGCTGGGCAATGGGGCACGGTGTGCGACGACGGCTGGGACCTCCTGGACGCCAAGGTCCTGTGCCGGCAGCTGGGTTGCGGCACCGCGGTGCTGGCCCCACACCGCGCTCACTACGGCCAGGGCCAGGGGCCCATCTGGTTGGACGCCGTGCGCTGCGCCGGCACCGAGGCGGCCCTGGCCGAGTGCAGGTCCAAGGGATGGGGCACCCATGGGTGCGAGCATGGGGAGGATGCCGGCGTCATCTGCTCGGGTAAGGACCCCTCAAAGTGGTACCCATTGGAACGGGGCTTGTGGTCAGGGAGGCATCTGGATGGAACCCATGAGATTCCACCTCCCATCCCTTATCTCCTGCTCACAGCTCCAGGAACCACTGATGCCCATTGGGCACCCATTGAGCAGCCATTGAGTGCCCATTGGGCACCCATTGAGCAGCCATTGAGTGTCCATTGAGAACCCATTGAGTGCCCATTAAGCACCCCTTGAGCTCCCACTGAGTGCCCATTGAGTGCCCATTGAGCACCCCTTGAGCTCCCCTTGAGGGCCCATTAAGCTCCTATTGAGTACCCATTGGGCGCCCATTGAGCATCTGTTGAGCACCCGTTGGGTGCCCATTGAGCACCCATTGAGTGCCCATTGAGCACCCATTGAGCTCCCCTTGAGGGCCCATTAAGCTCCTATTGAGTACCCATTGGGCGCCCATTGAGCATCTGTTGAGCACCCGTTGGGTGCCCATTGAGAACCCATTGAGTGCCCATTGAGCACCCTTTGGGCGCCCATTGAGCACCCGTTGAGCACCCGTTGAGTGCCCATTGAGCACCCATTGAGTGCCCATTGAGCACCCATTGAGCACCCATTGAGTGCCCATTGAGCACCCATTGAGCACCCATTGAGTGCCCATTGAGCGCTCATTGAGCTCCCATTGAGCAGCTGTTGAGGCTAAGAGATCCTATAGAGAAGCCCTTTCCCTTTGGGATGAGGTATCCCATGAGTCCCCAGTGGCACAAGGATGTCCTCATCTTGGTGATTGGATACCGTCCATGGCGTCCCCTTCAGGAAGGGCCCCAATCCATGGTTCTGTGCCTACGGCCACCCAAGACTTGGGTACCACTTGGGCCAGCTCAAAGGAAGAGCATCCCTGCCCCCCAAGAGCATCCTTGACCTGCTCCAATCACTGCTGCGGGTTCCATGGGGCGGAAGGCATCTCCTTCACCCCTGTTCCCACCGGGCTGCTCTAGGCTCGGGCATCTCGGACCTCGGAAGCCTCCGCTTGGTGAACGGCTCCGACGCGTGCTCCGGAAGGGTGGAAGTGTTCCACGAGCAGCGTTGGGGTGGGATCTGCTCCGAGGGCTGGGACCTGGCCGAAGCCCACGTGGTGTGCGGGCAGCTGGGCTGCGGGACGGCGCGCGCGGCACCGGCGTCGCCCCGGTTCGGGATGGGAGACGGCTTCCTCTGGGTGGACGCTGCCGAATGCGCCGGCACCGAGGGAGCCCTCTTGGAATGCCGCCTGAAGCTGTGGGGTGAGGAGAGCTGCAGGTCCAAGGCCCACGCCGCCGTCGTGTGCTCCGCAGCTGTAGGTCAGTGCCGGCATCCGTCCCCAGGAGGGAGCAATGGGGTGGTTCCTTATCCCTAGGGAAAGCGCTTGGGAAACCCTCGCAATTCCTGGGAATCCCAAGGGGGATGTTCCACTCTGCTGTGCTCTCGGGGTTCTTGATGCATCGAGGCCTTGGGGTGTCCCTTGCCCCCATGAGGATGTTCCCATCATGGAGCGATGTGTTTCCATGAGGACAACCGGCCATTGGAATGACATCCCAAGGGATGTGGTCACTCCACAGCATTGGATTTGGCTGGACAGGGCGCTGGGACATCCAATCCAGGTCGTGCTTTGCCTGGAAAGGTTGGGCCAACTGATCCTTGAGGTCCCTTCCAAGCTGGGGTTCCATGATCCCACCATTTATTGGGTATGGTCCTCAGAGGCTTGATCCCAATGGGAACACCCAAAGGGTGCTGGTGGAGCCCTTGCAAGATACCTTATCTCCATAGATGTGGATGAGATGAAGTGGGTCCATGGATGGGGATGAGATGAAGTGGGTCCATGGATGGGGATGAGACGAAGTGGGTCCATGGATGGGGATGAGATGAAGTGGGTCCATGGATGGGGATGAGATGAAGTGGGTCCATGGATGGGGATGAGAGGAAGTGGGTCCATGGACGGGGATGGGAGGATGTGGGTCCATGGATGGGGATGAGACGAAGTGGGTCCATGGATGGGGATGAGATGAAGTGGGTCCATGGATGGGGATGAGATGAAGTGGGTCCATGGATGGGGATGAGATGAAGTGGGTCCATGGATGGGGATGAGATGAAGTGGGTCCATGGATGGGGATGAGACAAAGTGGGTCCATGGATGGCGATGAGATGAAGTGGGTCCATGGATGGCGATGAGATGAAGTGGGTCCATGGATGGCGATGAGATGAAGTGGGTCCATGGATTGGCAGGTCCCAGATTCCATGATCCCACCATCCTTGGAGGCTCGATCCCAATGGGAACACCCACAGGGTGCTGATGGAACCCTTGCGAAACGCCTTATGATGGGATGTCCCATTGCATGGCCAACATTGTCCTTCTGCTCATAGACATCGACCCAAGGAGCTCGGGAGCCCTGCGCTTGGTGAACGGTCCCCACCGCTGCGCCGGGAGGGTGGAAGTGTTCCATAGCCATCAATGGGGCACCGTCTGCGACGACGGATGGGACCTGCTGGATGCGGCCGTGGTGTGCAGGCAGCTGGGTTGTGGGGCAGCCCTGTCGGCCCCGGGGCTCTCCGGCTTCGGGCAAGGATCCGGCCCCATTTGGTTGGATGGGGTGAGCTGCCTTGGGACCGAAGGCACCATCGCCGAATGCCCGGGCAAGCCATGGGGACAACACGCGTGTAACCACGTGGAAGATGCCAGCGTCGTGTGTGCAGGTGATGCTCAGCACGGGCTTAGGGCTTGGGATGCCAAGAGCATCCTGGGATGCATCAAGTAGAGGGATGTGATTCATCCCCCTCTATTCAACCCCAGTGGGTCCTCAGTCCAAGGAAGGGGTCCAATGGGGGCCACCGGGATGATCAGGGTCTGAAGCATCTCTTATGGATGCTTCCACAGGGTAGGGTAGGGGCAACCAGAAGGTCCAAGAAGAGCATCCTGGGATGCATCAGGAAGTGGAGGGATGCAATTCATATCCCCCCTATGCCAAGAGCATCCTGGGATGCATCAGCAAGTGGAGGGATGCAATTCATATCCCCCCTATGCCAAGAGCATCCTGGGATGCATCAGCAAGTGGAGGGATGCGATTCATCCCCCTCTCTTCAACCCCAGTGGGTCCTCAGGAGAGGCTCCAGTGGAGGCCACTGGGATGCTGAAGGTCTGAAGCATCTCTCTTAGGGATGCTTAGGCTGGAGGAGGCTCAGGCTCCCTAGAGCTAAAGGGAGGATGGAGCCAGGAGGGGAATGGGCTCTGCTCCCAAGGGATGGGACAAGAGGGAGACGGCCTCAAGCTGCACCAGGGGAGGTTTGGATGGAGCTGAGGAATCCCAAAGGGAACAGTGTTGGAATCACCATCCCTTGCAAGCATTCACCCCCTGGCCTCAGCGCCACGGTGGCCTTGGCAGCGCAACGGTTGGACCGGATGCTCTTAAAGCTCTTTCCCACCCTGGTTGATCCCATCGGCACAGCCCTAACAGCGCCCATTCCCTGTTGATTGCCAGGCTCCGGCATCGCCAGCAGCCCCCGGCTCCGCCTGGTGGGAGGTTTGAGTGAGTGCTCGGGCAGGGTCGAGGTGTTTTACGCCAACAAATGGGGCACGATCTGCGATGACAACTGGGACGTGCAGGATGCGGCCGTCGTGTGCAGGGCGCTGGGCTGCGGCGCTGCGGCGCTGGCCCCCGGCTCCGCTCGCTTCGGATGGGGAACCGGCCCCATCTGGTTGGACAACGTGAACTGCACCGGGCAGGAGACCGACTTCTTCCAGTGCTCGGCCAAGATGTGGGGCATCCACAACTGCCACCATGGGGAGGACGCTGGTGTGGTGTGCGCAGGTGAGAGGTGGGGATGGGGGGGGAAAGGAGCATCTTTATGTGGTACCCAGTCCTTGGAGGATGCAGGTGAGAGATGGGGATGAGGGGGAAAGGAGCATCTTTATGTGGTACCCAGTCCTTGGAGGATGAAGGTGAGAGGTGGGGATGGGGGGAAAGGAGCATCTTTATGTGGTACCCAGTCCTTGGAGGATGCAGGTGAGAGATGGGGATGGGGGGAAAGGAGCATCTTTATGTGGTACCCAGTCCTTGGAGGATGCAGGTGAGAGATGGGGATGAGGGGGAAAGGAGCATCTTTATGTGGTACCCAGTCCTTGGAGGATGCAGGTGAGAGGTGGGGATGAGGGGGAAAGGAGCATCTTTATGTGGTACCCAGGCCTTGGAGGATGCAGGTGAGAGATGGGGATGAGGGGGAAAGGAGCACCTTTATGTGGTACCCAGGCCTTGGAGGATGCAGGTGAGAGATGGGGATGAGGGGGAAAGGAGCACCTTTATGTGGTACCCAGTCCTAGGAGGATGCAGGTGAGAGATGGGGATGAGGGGGAAAGGAGCATCTTTATGTGGTACCCAGTCCTTGGGAAGATGAAGGTTTGAGATGGGGATGAGGGGGAAAGGAGCATCTTTATCTTTATGTGGTACCCAGTCCTTGGAGGATGCAGGTGACAGATGGGGATGAGGGGGAAAGGAGCATCTTTATCTTTATGTGGTACCCAGTCCTTGGAGGATGCAGGTGAGAGATGGGGATGAGGGGGAAAGGAGCATCTTTATCTTTATGTGGTACCCAGTCCTTGGAGGATGCAGGTGAGAGATGGGGATGGGGGAGAAAGGAGCATCTTTATGTGGTACCCAGTTCTTGGAGGATGCAGGTGAGAGATGGGGATGAGGGGGAAAGGAGCATCTTTATGTGGTACCCAGTCCTTGGAGGATGCAGGTGAGAGATGGGGATGGGGGGAGAAAGGAGCATCTTTATGTGGTACCCAGTCCTTGGAGGATGCAGGTGAGAGATGGGGATGGGGGGTAAAGGAGCATCTTTATCTTTATGTGGTACCCAGTCCTTGGAAGATGCAGGTGAGAGATGGGGATGAGGGGGGGAAGGAGCACCTTTATGTGGTACCCAGTCCTTGGAGGATGCAGGTGAGAGGTGGGGATGGGGGGTAAAGGAGCATCTTTATCTTTATGTGGTACCCAGTCCTTGGAGGATGCAGGTGAGAGGTGGGGATGAGGGGGAAAGGAGCATCTTTATCTTTATGTGGTACCCAGTCCTTGGAGGATGCAGGTGAGAGATGGGGATGAGGGGGGTAAAAGAGCATCTTTAAGTGGTACCCAGCAATGGGCAGCCCTTGGGAGGATGCAGGTGAGCACAAATGCGATGGGGAACGCCTGAGGGACCTATAAGTACCTACAAGGAGGATGGAGCCAGGAGGGGAATGGGCTCCTCTCCCAAGGGATGGGAGAGGAGGAAACAGCCTCAGGGTGCACCAGGGGAGCCTTGGACGAGGCCGAGGACCCCCAAAGGGAACAGTGTTGGAGTCACCATCCCTTGCAAGCCTTCACCCCCCTCCCAAATCAATGCCACGGGTTAGCGGTGGCCTTGCTTGGACCGGATGCTCCTAAAGCCCTTTCCCCCACCGCGGACGATGCCGCGATGCTCTCGGCACCGCCGGTGCCCGCTCGCTCCCAGCAGGGAACTCCAGCTCGGCCGCCCTGCGCCTCATGGACGGCCCCCACGGCTGCGCCGGGAGGGTCGAGGTGCTCCACGAAGGCCGATGGGGGACGGTGTGCGACGACGGCTGGGACCTGACGGACGCGGCGGTCGTTTGCCACCAGCTGGGCTGCGGCGGGGCCGAAGCGGCCCCGCTCCAGGCCCGCTTCAAGCAAGGCACCGGGCCCATCTGGTTGGACGACGTGGCCTGCGCCGGCAGCGAGGAGGAGCTCGCCCAGTGCCACGCCAGGCCCTGGGGGCAGAACAACTGCCACCATGGCGAGGACGCTGGGGTGGTGTGTTCAGGTACGGGGTGATGCTGCGGGATGGGGGGGATGAGGGGGGGCGTTCTGCAAGTGAGCACATGGGGGGTGATGGTTATGGGGGGTTAACTGGAGAAGAGAAGGCTCCGGGGACTTCATCTTCAAGCTTTTTGCTATCTCAATTGGGCTCCATCTTCAAGCTCTTTCCCAACTCAACTGGACTCCATCTTCAAGATCTTTTCCATCTCAATTGGACTCAATCCTCAATCTCTTTTCCATCTCAATTGGACTCCATCTCCAAGTTCTTTCCCAACCCAACTGGACTCCATCTTCAAGCTCTTTCCCATCTCAATTGGACTCCATCTCCAAGCTCTTTCCCAACCCAACTGGACTCCATCTTCAAGCTCTTTCCCATCTCAATTGGACTCCATCTTCAAGCTCTTTCCCATCTCAATTGGACTCCATCTTCAAGCTCTTCTCCAACTCAATGGGACTCAATCTTCGAGCTCATTTCCATCTCAATTGGACTCATCTCTTTCCCAACCCAATTGGACTCCATCTTCAATCTCTTTTCCATCTCAATTGGACTCCATCTCCAAGTTCTTTCCCAACCCAACTGGACTCCATCTTCAAGCTCTTTCCCATCTCAATTGGACTCCATCTTCAAGCTCTTTCCCAACTCAACTGGACTCCATCTTCAAGATCTTTTCCATCTCAATTGGACTCAATCCTCAATCTCTTTTCCATCTCAATTGGACTCCGCTCTTTCCCAACCCAATTGGACTCCATCTTCAATCTCTTTTCCATCTCAATTGGACTCCATCTCCAAGCTCTTTCCCAACCCAACTGGACTCCATCTTCAAGCTCTTCTCCAACTCAATGGGACTCAATCTTCAAGCTCATTTCCATCTCAATTGGACTTAGCTCTTTCCCAACCCAATTGGACTCAATCTTCAAGCTCTTCTCCAACTCAATGGGACTCAATCTTCGAGCTCATTTCCATCTCAATTGGACTCATCTCTTTCCCAACCCAATTGGACTCCATCTTCAATCTCTTTTCCATCTCAATTGGACTCAGCTCTTTCCCAACCCAATTGGACTCCATCTTCAAGCTCTTTCCCAACCCAATTGGACACCATCTTCAAGCTCTTTTCCATCAATCTTCAAGCTCATTTCCATCTCAATTGGACTCAGCTCTTTCCCAACTCAATTGGACTCCATCTTCAAGCTCTTTCCCAACCCAATCGGACTCAACCTTCAAGCCCTTTCCCAACTCAATTGGACTCCATCTTCAAGCTCTTTCCCAACTCAATCGGACTCAACCTTCAAGCTCTTTCCCAACCCAATCGGACTCAACCTTCAAGCCCTTTCCCAACTCAATTGGACTCCATCTTCAAGCTCTTTCCCAACCCAATCGGACTCAACCTTCAAGCTCTTTCCCAACCCAATCGGACTCAACCTTCAGGCTCTCTCCCAACCCAATCGGACTCCATCTTCAAACTCTTTCCCAACTCAGTTGGGTTCGATCCTCAACCTCTTTCCCTTCTACGACTCCCTGACTCCACATTTCCCTGATTCCACGCCTGGGACGCTCAAACCCTTCCCAAAGCCTCCTGTCCACCCCAACCCCTGCCATCCCCACCCCCTCGTGTAAGTGATGCCCCCCCAACCCACCCCCATGGTCCTCCCAGGCTCCAGCTCCCCCAACGCCTCCTCCGTACGGCTGACGGACGGCCCCCACCGCTGCGCCGGGCGGGTCGAGGTGCTCCACGCGGGCCAATGGGGGACCGTGTGCGACGACGCCTGGGACCTGAGCGACGCCGACGTCGTTTGCCGGCAGCTGGGATGCGGAAGGGCCCGGGAAGCCCCCGGCCGCGCTCGCTTCGGCCAAGGCACCGGGCGCATCTGGTTGGACGACGTGGGCTGCACCGGCGACGAGGACGCGCTCGCCCAGTGCCAAAGCCACCCCTGGGGACGCAGTAACTGCCACCACGGCGAGGATGCGGGCGTCGTGTGCTCAGGTATGGACCAGCCCGTTGAGGGCATCGATGAGCCCGCTGTGTGCCCGTGGGTTGGGTTGGGTTGGAAAGGGCCTGAAGGTGATCCAGTTCCAATCCCCTGCCATGGGCAAGGGATGCCTCACTCCAGACCGTGGCACCATTGAACACCAGCAGGGATGGAGCATTCATGACCCCCATTCCAGCACTCAGCACCCTCATAGGGAAGAACTTCCTTCGATCCAACCTAAACTTCCCCTCTTTAAGCTTAAACCCATCACCTCTTGCCCAACCCCTTCAATCCCAGAGGAGGAGGAACCGGATGCTCTGCAGGTCCTTCCCAACCCAACCCATTCCATGATTCTATCTTGGATCCGGACCAATGCAAGTCCTGGAAATCAATGGGGTTTGGTGACATCCCAGCCCAGGGATGTGGCTATGGCCAACTTGAGCTCATTGTGATGTCCCTGCTCATTGCAGAGGGGTTGGAACTGGGTGAGCATTGAATGGCCCTTCCAACCCAAACCATTCCATGGTTAAAACCTTCCCATCCTCCTCTCTATGGCACTAAATGGACCAATCCTAAACCCCATGAGTGAACCTTCCCATCGTCCTCCCTATGGCACCCAATGGACCAACCCTAAACCCCATGGGTGACACCTTCCCATCCTCCTCCCTATGGCACCCAATGGACCAACCCTAAACCCCATGGGTGACTCCTTCACTTCCTCCTCCCTATGGCACCCAATGGACCAACCCTAAACCCCATGGGTGACACCTTCCCATCCTCCTCCCTATGGCACCCAATGGACCAACCCTAAACCCCATGGCTGACACCTTCCCATCCTCCTCCCTATGGCACCCAATGGACCAACCCTAAACCCCATGGGTGACTCCTTCACTTCCTCCTCCCTATGGCACCCAATGGACCAACCCTAAACCCCATGGGTGACACCTTCCCATCCTCCTCCCTATGGCACCCAATGGACCAACCCTAAAACCCATGGCTGACACCTTCCCATCCTCCTCCCTATGGCACCCAATGGACCAACCCTAAACCCCATGGGTGACACCTTCCCATCCTCCTCCCTATGGCACCCAATGGACCAACCCTAAACCCCATGGGTGACACCTTCCAATCCTCCTCCCTATGGCACCCAATGGACCAACCCTAAACCCCATGGGTGACACCTTCCCATCCTCCTCCCTATGGCACCCAATGGACCAACCCTAAACCCCATGGGTGACACCTTCCCATCCTCCTCCCTATGGCACCCAATGGACCAACCCTAAACCCCACGGGTGACACCTTCCCAGCCTCCTCCCTATGGCACCCAATGGACCAAACCCCAACCCTAAACCCCCAGCCTGGTCTCCATTGCACACCCATGCCCAAGGAGAAGACACCACCATTGCAGGCCCCTAAGTTGCACCTAACTCCACCCCTATGGCTATGCTCTACCGGATGGGGGGTGCCTCCATAACAACCATAAACTGCTTTGGGGCTCCTTTGGCAACGCATCGGGCGCCCTGCTCCCCTTTTCCCAATGGGAATTCTCTTGGCAGACGCCAACCTCACGGCCATGGCGCGGATCCGCTTGGCCGACGGCCCCAACCGCTGCGCCGGGCGGGTGGAGGTGGAGCACGAGCATCAATGGGGCACGATCTGCGACGACGGCTGGGACCTGAATGATGCCAAAGTGATCTGCAGGCAGCTGGGCTGCGGCGCGGCCGTGGCGGCACCGGGACACGCTCGCTTCGGTGCCGGGGGGGATCCCATCTGGTTGGATAACGTGGAGTGCGCCGGCACGGAGAGCGCCTTCAGCCAATGCGACCATGGGATCTGGGGGCTCCATAACTGCAACCACAATGAGGATGCCGGAGTCGTGTGCTCAGGTGCTCAATGGTTGTTGCCAAAAGGGGGGGTGTAGATGGGGCCTGGCGGTGATGGGAATGGCCACGATGGGAATCAGGGGAATGGCTTCCCGTTGTTCTCAATGGGAGGGGTGTGGGGCGAAGGAATGGGGTGCCCAGAGGAGCTGGGGCGGCCAAGCCAACCCATCCCATGAGTCTGTGATTGTGAAGGCCCCTTGCAACCCAACCCAACCCAACTCATGGGTCTATGAGCTTGAAGGCCCCTTCCAACCAAACCCAACCCATGGGTCCATGAGTTTGAAGGCCCCTTCCAACCCAACCCATTCCATGGGTCTATGAGCCTGAAGGGCTGTTCCAACCCAACTCATCCCTTCCAAGCCATTCCATGAGTCTGTGATCTTGAAGGCCCCTTCCAACTGAAACCATTACATGAGTCTATGAGCTTGAAGGTCCCTTCCAACCCAACCAATCCCTTCCAACACAACCCATCCCATGAGTATGATCTTGAAGGCCCCTTCCAACCCAACCCATTCCATGGGTCTATGATCTTGAAAGCCATTTCCAACCCAAACTATTCCATGAGTTGATGAGCTTGAAGGCCCCTTCCTAGCCAACCCATCCCTTTGAACCCAACCCACCCTTCCAACCCAACCCAACCCACGAGTCTATGATCTTGAAGGTCTTTTTCAACCCAACCCAACCGCTCCAACCCAACCCAATCCATGGGTCTATGATCTTGAAGGTCCTTTTGAACCCAACCCATCCCTTCCAACCCAATCCCCTTCCACAAGTCTACTGTCTTGAAGGGCCCTTCCAACCCAAACCATTCCATGAGTCTATGAGCTTGAAGGCCCCTTCCAACCCAACCCTTCCAACCCAACCCAACCCTTCCAACCCAAACCATTCCATAAGTCTACGATCTTGAAGGCCCCTTCCAACCCAACCCAACCCTTCCAACCCAACCCAACCCTTCCAACCCAATCCCACTCCATAAGTCTACAATCTTGAAGGCCCCTTCCAACCCAACCCTTCCAACCCAACCCTTCCAACCCAAACCATTCCATAAGTCTACGATCTTGAAGGCCCCTTCCAACCCAACCCAACCCTTCCAACCCAATCCCATTCCATAAGTCTACAATCTTGAAGGCCCCTTCCAACCCAACCCAACCCAACCCAACCCAACCCAACCCTTCCAACCCAAACCATTCCATAAGTCTACGATCTTGAAGGCCCCTTCCAACCCAACCCAACCCAACCCAACCCAACCCTTCCAACCCAAACCATTCCATAAGTCTACGATCTTGAAGGCCCCTTCCAACCCAACCCAACCCTTCCAACCCAATCCCATTCCGTAAGTCTACAATCTTGAAGGCCCCTTCCAACCCAACCCAACCCAACCCAACCCTTCCAACCCAACCCTTCCAACCCAATCCCACTCCATAAGTCTACAATCTTGAAGGCCCCTTCCAACCCAACCCAACCCAACCCTTCCAACCCAAACCATTCCATAAGTCTACGATCTTGAAGGCCCCTTCCAACCCAACCCAACCCTTCCAACCCAACCCAACCCTTCCAACCCAATCCCACTCCATAAGTCTACAATCTTGAAGGCCCCTTCCAACCCAACCCTTCCAACCCAACCCTTCCAACCCAAACCATTCCATAAGTCTACGATCTTGAAGGCCCCTTCCAACCCAACCCAACCCTTCCAACCCAATCCCATTCCATAAGTCTACAATCTTGAAGGCCCCTTCCAACCCAACCCAACCCAACCCAACCCTTCCAACCCAAACCATTCCATAAGTCTACGATCTTGAAGGCCCCTTCCAACCCAACCCAACCCTTCCAACCCAATCCCATTCCATAAGTCTACAATCTTGAAGGCCCCTTCCAACCCAACCCAACCCAACCCTTCCAACCCAATCCCATTCCGTAAGTCTACGATCTTGAAGGGCCCTTCCAACCCAACCCATCCCATTGGGTCCGTAACACTCAGGATCTCCCACGGGGGCCCCATCTTCCCCCCTGTGCTCCTCTTGCAGGCCCCAACCCCTTGCAGCTGCGGGTGCAGGACGGCGCCGGGCCCTGCGCGGGGCGGCTGGAGGTGCTCTACAACGGGACCTGGCTCGGGGTGTGTGGCACCGGCTGGAGCCTGCTGGAGGCCGCCGTGGCCTGCAGGCAGCTGGGCTGCGGGGCGGCGCAGGCAGCACCCATGGGTGCCCCTCTGGACCGGGAGCACCACCGGGTGCTGCTGGAGGGGCTGAGCTGCCACGGCACCGAGTCGCTGCTCCTCGAGTGCCAACAGAGCCACACGGGGCCGGGCCTGTGCCCAATGGGCTCGGTGGCCACCGTGGTGTGCACAGAGCCCAAGGGTGAGCATCGGGCCCCTTTGTGGTGGCTGTAAGGGGTAAAAGGTGCCAATGGGGACAAGCGGCTCTTGAGCATCCCAATGGGACGCGTCGCCTTTGCTGTCCCCGTTGGGAGCGTTGGGAATGGGGTCCCGCTTCCCAACCGCGCTCGTGCATCCCTTCTTGGTCATCCTGGGAGAGCCTAGAGCCTAAAGGGGCTCCAGGAAACCTGGAGGGAGGCTTGGGACAAGGGATGGAGGGATGGGACAATGGGAATGGCGGGGGGGGGGGATTGGGATGAGCTCTTCCCTATGAGCGTGGTGGGACATTGGGATGGAGAAGATGGGGCAGGGATGGAATGGGGCTTGGAGCAAGGTGTCCCCCCGGCAGGGGGTTGGATCTGGATGGGCTTTATGCTCCATCCCATCCCATTACTTGGGTCTCCATGCCTGGAGACGGGATCCCGAATCCATCCTTGCCCCCATGCCAGGCGCTCCCTCATCCTGCTCGGCGCTGATCGCGCTGCTGGTGCTGGTGATGCTGCTCAGCGGGGTCCTGCTCTGGCTCTTCCTCAAGAGAAGATGCATTGCAGCAGCCCAGGCTGGAGGTGACACCCCCCCCCCACACCCCACCTTATCCCTACTCTTCCCACCCCTCCATAAGCTTCACCCATGGAGATGGGGATGAGCCCCACATCCTCTCCACCCCACAGCCCACCAGCGCCTTCGGGACCAGGATGCTCCATCCACCTCCTTCCAAGCCATGGGGGCCATCTACCTGCCCAGCACAGCAGAGGGCCCTGAGGAGGACACGGAAATGATGCAGCTCATGGAGGAAGATGCTGCCCAATGATGCTCAATACCCTAAGGGGGGGGTCACATCAGGCTTTTGGGGTCCTTTATGTGCTTCTCCTCAAGACTCAAAAGCACCAAGGACTTGGGGGGACCCCCCACAAATCAGCCCCCATGGCTCAGGAGGAGCAATTAAAAGGGGGACCCCAACCTTTTGGATGCGATGGGCGAGTGCTGGTTATGGGGGGACGGACGGGACCCCCACATACACAAGGTCCAAGACGGGCATTCCTGGGAGCAGGCAGCAGCAATGGTCCTCATCCCCCATGCAGGACACCCATCAGGAAGGAAACACCCCCTTTTCAGGGTGCCAAAGGGTGGAGGTCCCATAGGGCAGGATGCTCATCTCCGAGCAGGAATCCATGGGGATATATGGGATATATGGGATTAGGAGGGACACAAGCTCTGCTGGAAGAGGAGCTGGAGGCCAACCAGGCCCCACAGCCCCCAGGTGGATAAAGCAGATGGGAACCTGCTGAGATGCACCCAGCACCCTATGGGCCATACAGGACGTTGAGAACCCCCCCCCAGCATCAAATCCCAGCCCCACAAGACTCAATGGGGCCAGAGCTGAAAGAGGAGGTGGAAGGGAAGGAGCCGGGGAGCCCATAAGCATCCCCATAGGGGGATCCATCGCCTGGCTGATCCCCAAGAGGGGCCCCATCACTCCGTCACCCCCCCCAAGAGGGATGCGATGGCTCTCGCCCAAGTGACCTCCCACCCATGCCTGAAGGCCACCAAGGAGCCCACGAGGGTGCTGAGCCAAGGGCCCCATTAATCAGCATCCTGTAATTAGTGCGCACATCCCAACCCCATCCCACCCCCCAAGTACTACAGGGACCTTATGGAATGGGGGGGACACACACACGTGGATCTGGGATCTCCAGGAGTCCAAGGGGCATCAGGACAAGGCCCTTGTGTCCTCATAGGCGCAGGTCCCCGTGCTCAGCACCACGGGGCTCATCCGAGAGGAGGATGAAGGATGCTGCTCCGCTGCGGCCCGCTTGCAGGACCCAACCCGAACGTCGGGATTGGGATGGGGTGGGAATGGGGAGGAAGCAGGATCGGCAGCACGGGACACGGATGGGCCACGGAAGCCAAGCAGGCTTCAGGAGGTGTCCACTCCTATGGGGTCCATGAGGCGATGCCTGCCCCATGCTCTTATGGGGTCCATGAGGTGATGCTCTTATGGGGTTCCATAAGGTGATGCTCTTATGGGGTCCGTGAGACGATGCCTACCCCATGCTCTTATGGTGGTCCATGGGGTGATGCCTACCCCATGCCCTTATGGTGGTCCACGAGGTGATGCTCTTATGGGGATCCGTGAGGTGATGCTCTGATGGGGTTCATGAGGCGATGCCTACCCCATGCCCTTATGGTGGTCCACGAGGTGATGCTCTTATGGGGATCCGTGAGGTGATGCTCTTATGGGGTCCATGGGGTGATGCCTACCCCATGCCCTTATGGTGGTCCATGGGGTGATGCCTACCCCATGCCCTTATGGTGGTCCATGGGGTGATGCCTACCCCATGTTCTTATGGGGTCCATGAAGTGATGCTCTTATGGTGATCCATGAGGTGATGCCTACCCCACGCTCTATAGTGGTCCATGGGACGAAGCCTACCCCATGCCCTTATGGTGGTCCACGAGGCGATGCTCTTATGGGGATCCATGAAGTGATGCTCTTATGGGGTTCATGAGGTGATGCCTACCCCATGCCCTGATGGTGGTCCACGAGGTGATGCTCTTATGGGGATCCATGAGGTGATGCTCTTATGGGGTCCATGGGGCGATGCCGACCCCATGCCCTTATGGTGGTCCACGAGGTGATGCTCTTATGGGGATCCATGAGGTGATGCTCTTATGGGGTCCATGGGACGATGCCTACCCCATGCCCTTATGGGGTCCATGGGACGATGCCTACCCCATGCCCTTATGGTGGTCCACGAGGCGATGCTCTTACGGCGTCCCATGGGACGACGCCCACACCATGCCCTTATGGCGCCCCACGGGGCGACGCCGCTCTCCCGGCGCCCCACGAGGCGATGCCCACCCCGATCCTCTGTGGGTCCGAAGGAGGCGCTGCCCGTCGCCGCGCTCAGCCGTCGCGGTGCACGCGCTGGTGCTGCAGCAGGTTGGAAGGGTGCGCGAAGCCCTTGTCGCACACGCCGCACTTGTAGGGCGTCTCGCCCGTGTGCACCTTCTCGTGCACGGCCAGGTAGGCCAAGTCCTTGAAGTACTTGTGGCAGAAGCTGCACTCGTAGGGCCGCTCCTGGCTGTGCACGCGGTGGTGCTGGAGCAGCAGCGAGGGCCGGGCGAAGGCCTTGCCGCACGCCTCGCACTTGTAGGGCCGCTCGCCCGTGTGCGCCCGCTCGTGGATCACCAGGTAGGAGGACTGCTTGAAGGCCTTGCCGCACGTCTTGCAGGCGAAGGGCCGCTCGCCCGTGTGCACCCGCTCGTGCGAGGCCAAGGCGTTGGACTGCTTGAAGCCCTTGCCGCAGAGCGGGCAGACGAAGGGCCGGTCGCCCGTGTGCACGCGCTCGTGCACCTTGAGGCTGTGGCCGTAGGTGAACTTCTTGCCGCAGACGCCGCAGACGTGGGGCTTGTCGTCGCAGTGCTGGCGCTGGTGGAGCAGGAGGGCGTTGGAGGTGGGGAAGTCCTTGCCGCAGTCGGCGCACTTGAAGGGCTTCTCGGCGCAGTGGGTGAGCGCGTGGCGCTGCAGCTCGTAGGGCGTCTTGAAGCTCTTGGCGCAGCGCGGGCAGGCGAAGGGCCGCTCGCCGCTGTGGATGCGCCGGTGCTCCTGGAGGTTGGAGGAGCGCTTGAAGCGCTTGCCGCAGAGCTCGCAGCGGAACGGACGCTCCTCGGTGTGCACCAGGCCGTGGCTCTTGAAGTCCGAGTGCCGCTTGAAGGAGGCCTGGCACAGGGCGCAGCGGAAGGGCCGCTCCTCGTTGTGCACCACCTCGTGGCTCAGCAGCTCCCAAGCCCGCTTGAAGGCCTTGGCGCACACCGCGCACTGGAAGGGCTTCTCGTCCACGATGACCTCGCGGATCTCCAGCTCGGCGCCGGGGGGCACCGCCGCCGACGGTAACGGCAGCCCCGCCACCGCCTCCTCCAGCACCAGCTTGGCCGTCGAGTAGATGCCGCGCTCGTCGATCAGCTGCACCAAGTCGCCTTTGGCACGGGGAACGCCGGTGGAGCCGCTCTCTTCGTCGTCGTCGTCGTCGTCGTCGCTGCTCCGCGCTCCGTCCTCCATCCAGAGCAGGCGCAGCCGCTTCCCGCGGGAAGGCCCCGGCTCTTCCCGGCACGCCGGGGACGCGGGAGCCGCGCCGGCCTCGGCCTTGAGGCCTCGGCGGTGCCGGCGCCGGCGCGGGGAGGCTCCTCCATCGCCAGGGCTCGGAGCGCTGCCCGCAGCACGCGCCGGCTGCGTCCCGGCTGCCTCCTCCTCCTCCTCCTCACCATCAGCCTCAGCCCCGATGGGAAGGCGCCGGGATAAAGGCTCCGCTCGCTCTTCCATGGCAGCTGGGAGGAGAGGAGCGATGGGATGGAGCAGGCAGCGAGGGGATGGGGATGGCTTCTCCATGGGGATCCCCCACACACTCACAGGTTCCTATAGGGATGGCTCTGGGGAGACGGGGCCACGGCCGAGCCCAATCCTGGGAATGGGGCGAGATTCCATCCTGGAAGCACGGGAGGGAGCAGCTGGGGGGGCGGGGGGGGCAGTGAGGGGTCCACGGGGGAATTCCTGGTAGGAATTCCCTGTGGGATCGAGGGGACGCTCCGTCACATCAGCCTCCCAAAGCCCATTGCAACCGGAACCCCCCAGTATGCTCCAGTAACCATATGGTAAATCCCAATCCTTCCCAGTATGAACCATCCATCATCGCAGCACGTCTCAGTGCTTCATCCCAGCACCTCCCAGTCCTTCATCCCAGCACATACCAGTCCTTCATCCCAGCACATACCAGTCCATCACCACATCCCAGTCCTTCATCCCAGCGCATCCCAGTCCTTCATCCCAGCGCATCCCAGTTCATCACCCCAGCGCATCCCAGTTCATCACCCCAGCGCATCCCAGTCCATCATCCCAGCACATCCCAGTCCTTCATCCCAGTGCATCCCAGTCCTTCATCCCAGTGCATCCCAGTTCATCACCCCAGCGCATCCCAGTCCTTCACCCCAGCGCATCCCAGTCCTTCATCCCAGCGCATCCCAGTTCATCACCCCAGCACATCCCAGTCCTTCATCCCAGCACATCCCAGTCCTTCCTCCCAGCGCATCCCAGTTCTTCATCCCAGCGCATCCCAGTCCTTCACCCCAGCACATCCCAGTCCTTCATCCCAGCGCATCCCAGTCCTTCATCCCAGCGCATCCCAGTCCTTCATCCCAGCGCATCCCAGTTCATCACCCCAGCACATCCCAGTCCTTCATCCCAGCGCATCCCAGTTCATCACCCCAGCACATCCCAGTCCTTCATCCCAGCACATCCCAGTCCTTCCTCCCAGCGCATCCCAGTTCTTCATCCCAGCGCATCCCAGTCCTTCACCCCAGCACATCCCAGTCCTTCATCCCAGCGCATCCCAGTCCTTCATCCCAGCGCATCCCAGTCCTTCATCCCAGCGCATCCCAGTTCATCACCCCAGCACATCCCAGTCCTTCATCCCAGCGCATCCCAGTTCATCACCCCAGCACATCCCAGTCCTTCATCCCAGCACATCCCAGCGCATCCCAGTCCTTCATCCCAGCGCATCCCAGTCCTTCATCCCAGCGCATCCCAGTCCTTCACCCCAGCGCATCCCAGTCCTTCACCCCAGCACATCCCAGTCCTTCATCCCAGCACATCCCAGTCCTTCATCCCAGCGCATCCCAGTTCATCACCCCAGCGCATCCCAGTCCTTCATCCCAGCACATCCCAGTCCTTCACCCCAGCACATCCCAGTCCTTCATCCCAGCACATCCCAGCGCATCCCAGTCCTTCCTCCCAGCACATCCCAGTCCTTCATCCCAGCGCATCCCAGTCCTTCATCCCAGCGCATCCCAGTCCTTCCTCCCAGCACATCCCAGTCCTTCATCCCAGCGCATCCCAGTCCTTCATCCCAGCACATCCCAGTCCTTCCTCCCAGCACATCCCAGTCCTTCATCCCAGCGCATCCCAGTCCTTCATCCCAGCGCATCCCAGTCCTTCATCCCAGCACATCCCAGTCCTTCATCCCAGCACCCCCCATTCCTAACAGAGTTTCTCTCCCCCCGCCATTACTCCCCCCCCCTCACCCCCCCCCCCCCGGCCCCCCCTCACCCCCGGAGCCTCCGGTACCTCAGCCCCCACACACCTTCAACATCGCAATGGATCCTCCCATTCCCGTTCCCATCCCCATTCCCGTTCCCGTTCCCATCCTTGTTCCCGTTCCCATCCCCATTCCCATCCCCGTTCCCGTTTCCATCCCCATTCCCGTTCCCGTTCCCATCCTTGTTCCCGTTCCCATCCCCATTCCCATCCCCGTTCCCGTTTCCATCCCCATTCCCATTCCCATCCCTGTTCCCATCTCCATCCCCGTTCCCATCCCTGTTCCCGTTCTCACCGTTCCCGTTCGCATACCTGTTCCCATCCCCATCCCCGTCCCCGTTCCCGTCCCCATCCCCGTCCCCGTTCCCATCCCCATCCCCGTTCCCGTCCCCATCCCCATCCCCGTCCCCGTTCCCATCCCCATCCCCATCCCCGTTCCCATCCCCATCCCCATCCCCGTTCCCGTTCCCGTTCCCGTTCTCACCGTTCCCCACCGGCCGCCGCCACCTCCCCCGGAGCCGCTTCCGGCCGCGCTCGCGCGCTGCGCCGTAACGTCACTTCCGGGGGGCGGGGCTGAGGGAGGGGAACGGGGTGGGGGCGGGGCAAGTGTGCGCGGGGACGTCTGCGTGTGTGGGCACGTGGTACGCGTGTGTGCACGTGGTACATGTGTGTGCACGTGGTACACGTGTGTTCACGTGTGTGTGCACGTGGTACGTGTGTATGCACGTGGTGCATGTGTGTTCACGTGTGTGTGCACGTGGTACATGTGTGTGCATGTGGTACATGTGTGTGCACGTGGTACGCGTGTGTTCACGTGTGTGTGCACGTGGTACGTGTGTATGCACGTGGTACATGTGTGTTCACGTGTGTGTGCACGTGGTACATGTATGTGCATGGGGACGTGTGTTCATGTGTGTGTGCATGGGGACATCTATGTGCATGGGGACACGTGTGTGCATGGGGACATGTATGTGCATAGGACACATGAGTGCATGGGGACGTGTGTGCATGGGGACACGTGTGTGCACAGGATGCGTGTGTGCAGAGGACACGTGTGTGCATGGGGACACGTGTGTGCACAGGACACGTGTGTGCATGGGGACATGTGTGTGCATGGGGACATGGGTGTGCACAGGACACATGTGCATGGTACGTGTGTGCATGGGGACACGTGTGTGTATGGGGACATGTGTGTGCATGGGGACACGTGTGTGCACAGGACACGTGTGCATGGTATGTGTGTGCATGGGGACACGTGTGTGCACAGGACACGTGTGTGCATGGGGACACGTGTGTGCATCGTACGTGTGTGCATGGGGACACGTGTGTGCACGGGACGCGTGTGTGCACAGGACACGTGTGTGCATGGGGACACGTGTGTGCACAGGACACGTATGTTCTGGGACGTGCTGTTCCTATGGAAGCCCCCCCCCATTCTGTGCCACGAGGGATGCTGTGGGGATGCTCCCGTTGGGGCGCAGGTGATGCCGGCACCGCGGCGGTCGCCATGGAGTTCGCGCCCCATGGACCACGGGAGCGTGGGGCTCGCATCCGCCTTTATTGCAGCCGCTCCAGAGCCTGGGAAGGGGCTCGGGAAGGGGAGGGAAGGGCTCAAAGGGCCTCGAGGGCCATGAACGAGGGGGTCTGGGGGGGGGGACACAAGGGGACGGTGCCTCCATGCGCTTCCCATCGCTCTTCATTACCTGCAATGGGTCCCAAGGGATGCCCCCAATGGTGTGGGGAAGGGGGGGGCATCCCTTGGGAATGGGGTCGACTCGAGCCTCGGTTGTTCTCTTCGGTGCCCCATGGACTTCAGAGCTTCCCTTTTGCTTGGCTTGAAGGCAAAACCACCCCTCTCCTCCCCAGCCATGGGGCTTAGATCCCGCCTGGAATGACAAGGATGGAAAGGGAGCTTGAATGGGCCTGACGTGGAGATAACGCCCGGAGACAGGGAAGCGATTCCAGTTGGAAGATGGGAATCATCCCCCCCCCCAAAAAACACCCAGCTCCAGCTCCAGCATCACCCCCTTGGACTCGGCCAAGACAAGAAGGGGATGCGGGTGAAGAGCAAGGAGGCGCCAGCCCCAGCATCCTGCCTCGAAGCTGGGTACCAAGGAATGCCAATTGGGATAGGGCAGAGATGGAGGATACCTGAATGCCTGCATCCTCTGCCTCCAGAATGCACTCAATGGAAGGATGCTGCTGGTACCCAGAATGCACTCAATGCAAGGATGCTTCTGGTACCCACAATGCACTCAATGGAAGGATGCTGCTGGTACCCAGAATGCACTCAATGCAAGGATGCTTCTGGTACCCAGAATGCACTCAATGGAAGGATTCTCCTGGTACCCAGAATGCACTCAATGCAAGGATGCTTCTGGTACCCAGAATGCATTCAATGGAAGGATGCTTCTGGTACCCAGAATGCACTCAATGCAAGGATGCTGCTGGTACCCACAATGCACTCAATGGAAGGATGCTCCTGGTACCCCCAATGCACTCAATGGAAGGATGCTGCTGGTACCCACAATGCACTCAATGGAAGGATGCTTCTGGTACCCAGAATGCACTCAATGCAAGGATGCTGCTGGTACCCACAATGCACTCAATGGAAGGATGCTTCTGGTACCCACAATGCACTCAATGGAAGGATGCTTCTGGCACCCAGAATGCACTCAATGGAAGGATGCTGCTGGTACCCACAATGCACTCAATGGAAGGATGCTGCTGGTACCCAGAATGCACTCAATGGAAGGATGCTGCTGGCACCCAGAATGCGCTCAATGGAAGGATGCTGCTGGTACCCACAATGCACTCAATGGAAGGATGCTGCTGGTACCCACAATGCACTCAATGGAAGGATGCTGCTGGTACCCACAATGCACTCAATGGAAGGATGCTTCTCGTACCCAGAATGCACTCAATGGAAGGATGCTGCTGGTACCCACAATGCACTCAATGGAAGGATGCTTCTGGTACCCACAATGCGCTCAATGGAAGGATGCTGCTGGTACCCAGAATGCACTCAATGGAAGGATGCTGCTGGTACCCAGAATGCACTCAATGGAAGGATGCTGCTGGTACCCAGAATGCACTCAATGGAAGGATGCTGCTGGTACCCAGAATGCACTCAATGGAAGGATGCTTCTGGTACCCACAATGCACTCAATGGAAGGATGCTCCTGGTACCCAGAATGCACTCAATGGAAGGATGCTGCTGGTACCCAGAATGCACTCAATGGAAGGATGCTGCTGGTACCCACAGTGCACTCAATGGAAGGATGCTGCTGGTACCCACAATGCACTCAATGGAAGGATGCTGCTGGTACCCAGAATGCACTCAATGCAAGGATGCTTCTGGTACCCAGAATGCACTCAATGGAAGGATGCTGCTGGTACCCACAATGCACTCAATGCAAGGATGCTGCTGGTACCCAGAATGCACTCAATGGAAGGATGCTGCTGGTACCCAGAATGCACTCAATGAAAGGATGCTTCTGGTACCCAGAATGCACTCAATGGAAGGATGCTCCTGGTACCCACAATGCACTCAATGGAAGGATGCTGCTGGCACCAGGATGTGCCTGAACGGGTCTCCCCCCCCCCAGAGAGCCTCCCCTTGCCCCATCCCAAGCCTTGGGTACCTGTGCAAACCACGCCAGCATCCTCTCTGTGCCCACAGTTGTGGCTTCCCCAGGCAGGGGCTTTGCATTGGGCCAAAGCATCTTCGGTCCCTTCGCATTCCACATCGTCGAGCCAAATGGGGCCTGATCCTTCCCCATAGGCAGCCCCATGGGAGGCCCTCAGAGCCTTGCCACAGCCCAGCTGCCTGCAGACCACGTTGGCCTCCCTCAGGTCCCAGCCATCGTCGCACACCGTTCCCCATTGCTGCCCGTAGAAGACCTCCACTCGTCCGGAGCAGGGCTCGGAGCCCCCCATCAAGCGAAGTGGGGCAGGTTCCACATGGCCTGGAAGGGAAGGGAGAGGGAAAAAACGATCCATGGGGAAAGGATTCCGGTGCGGAATGTGGCCGATGAGTCCTTCCAATGGGGAAGCATCCCGGGGTGGATTGGGATGGGATGGAGCTTGAAGCCCATCCAGATCCATCCCCTTGCCATGGGGACACCTCGGACCAGCTTCTCCATTGGGCCCATTCCCATGTCCCACCCTCCTCATAGGGATCTCCCTAAGAGCTCATCCCAATCCCCCCCCTCTCTGCCGGGTTAAAGCCATTCCCATTGCCCCATCCCTTCTCCAAAGCCCCTCTCCAGGTTTCTTATAGGCTCCTTCCATAGGGACTGCATTCAATGGGGTGAGGGATGCCGAAGCCCCTCTCTGCAGTGACCAAGGATGCTCTACCAAGGGAGCATCCCAACGAGGGCTTTCCAGGATGGATCCCTCTTCATCTCCCGACCCCCCACGGATGCTGGGCTCAGGGACGGGGCCTCCTCCACCCCATAGCCCCCTTTACCCGCGCACACGACCCCGGCGTCCTCGCGGTGCGCGCAGTTGTGGGTCCCCCAAGGCTTCGCGGCGCACTGGGAGAGGGCGGCTTCGGTGCCCTTGCAGCCCACATCATCCAACCAAACGGGATCCGGGCCCATGCCAAAGGCAGCGGCGGGGGGGGCGGAGAGGGCGGCCCCACAACCCAGCTGCCGGCACACCACCTCGGCGTCCCTCACGTCCCAGTGGTCGTCGCACACCGTGCCCCATCGGCGGCCGTAGAACACCTGCACCCGGCCAGCGCAGCGGCTGGAGCCGTTCACCAGCCTCACCGGCACCGGGGATGAAGGCCCTGGGTTGAAGAGAATTGGGGGGGGGGGGGGAAATGGGAATGGAGAGTGGCATGTTTAAATCCATCATCTTAATGCTGTGGCAGCAGCAGCAACGCCAGCAGCAGCAGCATTGCCATCATCATCATCACCAGCATCGCCATCAGCATCATCACCAGCATCATCACCGGCATCATCACCGGCATCATCACCACCAGCATCATCATCATCAGCATCATCATTGCCATCAGCATCACCAGCAGCGTCACCGGCATCATCACCGGCATCATCACCACCAGCACCAGCATCATCACCATCAACATCATCACCAGCATCATCATTGCCATCAGAATCACCAGCATCATCATCACCAAGCATCATCACTGGCATCATCACCAGCATCACCATCATCACCAGCATCATCATCATCACCAGCATCATCACCATCATCACCATCATCATGACCGTCATCATCACCATCATCACCACCATCATCACCATCATCACCATCATCATGACCGTCATCATCACCAGCATCATCATCATCACCACCTGCATCACCACCATCATCACCATCATCATCATCGCCATCAGCATTACCAGCATCACCAGCACCAGCTTCATCACCAGCATCATCGCCATCATCATCATCATCATCATCATCATCATCATCATCACCAGCATCATCACCATCATCACCAGCATATCACCGTTATCACCCCTTATCCCTTCACTATAATCAATGATGAAGGCCCCTCTCCAGCATCCTTAGAGCCCCCTTTGGACACCGGGAGCTGCTCTGAGGTCTCCGTGCATCTTCCCCTCCCCACATCCCTATGGATGATCCCGATGGACCAATCAAGCCTTTGGAAGCAAATCCTCACCCTATGGGGACTGCATCGCTGTGATTTACCTCCACATACAACCCCTGCATCTTCTCCTCCCCACATCCCTATGGATGATCCCGATGGACCAATCAAGCCATGGGAGCAAATCCTCACCCTATGGGGAGAGCACTGCTGTGATTTACCTCCACATACAACCCCTGCATCTTCTCCTCCCCACATCCCTATGGATGATCCCGATGGACCAATCAAGCCATGGGAGCAAACCCTCACCCTATGGGGAGAGCATCGCTGTGATTTACCTCCACATACAACCCCTGTATCTTCTCTTCCCCACATCCCTATGGATGATCCTGATGGACCAATCAAGCCATGGGAGCAAATCCTTGCCCTATGGGGAGAGCCCTGATGTGATTTACCCATGCACATGACCCCTGCATCTTCTCCTGCCCACATCCCTATGGATGATCCCGATGGACCAATCAAGCCATGGGAGCAAACCCTCACCCTATGGGGAGAGCATCGCTGTGATTTACCTCCACATACAACCCCTGTATCTTCTCTTCCCCACATCCCTATGGATGATCCTGATGGACCAATCAAGCCATGGGAGCAAATCCTTGCCTTATGGGGAGAGCCCTGCTGTGATTTACCCATGCACATGACCCCTGCATCTTCTCCTGCCCACATCCCTATGGATGATCCCGATGGACCAATCAAGCCATGGGAGCAAATCCTTGCCCTATGGGGAGAGCCCTGCTGTGATTTACCCATGCACATGACCCCTGCATCTTCTCATCCCCACATCCCTATGGATGATCCCAATGGACCATCAAGCCACGGGAGCAAATCCTTGCCCTATGGGGAGAGCACTGCTGTGATTTACTCACGCACACAACCCCTGCATCTTCTCCTCCCCACATCCCTATGGATGATCCTGATGGACCAATCAAGCCATGGGAGCAAACCCTCACCCTATGGGGAGAGCACTGCTGTGATTTACCTCCACATACAACCCCTGTATCTTCTCTTCCCCACATCCCTATGGATGATCCTGATGGACCAATCAAGCCATGGGAGCAAATCCTTGCCTTATGGGGAGAGCCCTGCTGTGATTTACTCACGCACACAACCCCTGCATCTTCTCCTCCCCATATCCCTATAGATGATCCCGATGGACCAATCAGGCCTTTGGAAGCAAATCCTCGCCCTATGGGGAGAGCCCTGCTGTGATTTACCTGCGCACACGACCCCTGCATCCTCCCCATGGTCACAGTT